TTGTGCTCTGCAGAATGTCAGCTTCCTAATTATGGGGGGATTTTTAATACTTTTTAAAAGTGTGGTGGGCAGGCATCCTATCAGGTAGTAAGAGAGAACTGCAAGGGATATACGCGGTGCTCCCTGACATCATTTTCAAGACTCTAGAAATAATGTTCTCAGTACAGCCAGTTTGGGTTGTAAGGGCTTATAGCGATAGCACTTAGACTTACATACCGCTTCATAGTGTTTTTACAGCTCTCTCTAAGTGGTTTTACAGAGTCAGCCTATGGCCCCCAATAATCTGGGTCCTCATTTTACCCACCTCGAAAGGATGGAAGGCTGAGTCAACCTTGGGCCTGGTGAGATCTGAACTGCCAGATTGCAGGCAGCCGGCAGGCAGCAGAAGTAGCCTGCAGTACTGCATTCTAACCACTGCGCCACCGTGGCTAAATGTTATTCTAAGGGTAAAATGCTGGTAAAAGCGGGATTTATTCGGTGTTAGAGCTGTGTTAATCATGCTGTCCCTGATTAGCTTTACTGATGTGGTTCCCTGTATGTGTGCCTGTTTGACTTAAAAGGTTTCAATATATTTGGAAGAATTATAGTGGGTGAAGTCAGAAACAAAGCCCCTGGCTCATTTCAATAAAGGCACCTCGGTGTCAAGCAGTTCCTCATCCAGTATTACATAAAAGTAAGACATTTAATTTTCAGTACATAGCTTCCTTTTTCTATTTTTTCAAATAGAGAAACACTTTAATGTATACATTCTATTTATCAGAAGCTTGCAGATTTGAAAGAGACATTTGGGTTGGCTACTATGGGAAAAGAACTCTGGATTTGAATGCAAGTATTTCATCAGATCCAAACATCTTTTCCATGCTCTTCCGCCAATTAAACTGATCCGTTTGGGGGTACACTGGTATAATTTTAAATCGTTTTTTAATTGGGTTACTGATTTTAATTTTGTATTGTATTGTGATTTGTATTGAAGTTGTCATTTTGTAAGCCGCCTTGAGTCCCTAGGGAGAAAGGCGGCATATAAATCGCAATAAATAAATAAATAAATAAATGTTATTATATAGTCTGATATGGCAGCACTCCAAAACTTAAATTTACCTCACTACTGAGAACAGATGAAAGCTCAGACTAAGTTTGTTATTACTCTCACAATTCCTATTATATTTGAAGAAATTACTTTAGCATCCAGGAAATAGCTTTGCTTCTCATCATTGCCAATTAAATATTCAACGGTGAAAAAAAAAAAGTAAGAGGAAGAGACATAATCTGGATTTGGAGCATGTAGGTAGGTAGATAGGATAGCTTGAGGTATAAAGTTTATAGCTTTTCTTGCATTTGCACCCTTGAATTTCAGGCTCTGAGCCTTCTAGTTCAGCTACCAGTCAAGATGAAATATAATAGCTGTTCCTTTGAGTACCATTTGGTTCAGTGTCCTGTGCAGACTCAGAAAATGGACTAATTCAGTAACCATTATTCACGTTGATCTCAATGGGTGGTCTCTTCCTGCTGGTGGTCTCCATTTGGGGAGAGGAAAAGCCAAGTTAAGCTTAGTCTATGAGCCTTAATGTATATGGAAGCAGAAAACTAGCTGAAAGGCTTTGAACAAATGGGCAATTTATTAGTGGGATTTTAAATCTATAGAGTAGGCATACAACATGTGTAATAACGTTAAAAATAGAGGAAGCCATCAACATCCAATCAATAACAAAGCCAATGTTTTGACTGTGATAACATCAGATGAGAGTTGTGGTACGTTTTGGATATGGCAGCCAGAAGGAAGAGTGAAATAAGTTGGTTAAATGCAGTAGGTACGGAATTAAGTCAGTTCAGCACCTCGGACAGTACATTTACCTATAACCTGCAAATCTATGGAGATTCTCAGTCATCCAGGTCTAGGGAGCCTGGATAGCTCAACAGACAGAGCTCTGTAATTTAACACCAGCTGTCTGCAATTAAAGTAAGATTGAATCTCGCCAGGCTCAAGGTTGACTCAGCCTTCCATCCTTTCTAAGGTAGGTGAAATGAGGACCCAGTTTGTGGGGGCAATAAAATGACTTTGTATAAATATACAAAAGTATGAAGGCTATTGCTTAACGCATTGTAAGCCGCCCTGAGTCTCCGGAGAAGGGCGGCATATAAATCAAATTAAAAATTAAAAAAAAAATTAAATCCAGGTCATGGTTGTCCCAAAGGTGCTTTTTCAGGAGGCAACTGGACTTTTCTTGTTGTTGTTGTTTTGAAGACGTTTCGCTTCTCATCCAGGAAGCTTCTTCAGCTCTGACTGGATGGTGGGGAATGGAAGGATTTATACTCTTTGGAGACAGCTGGTCATTTGCAAGAAGGCTCCACACCTATTTGCACTACTCAGGTGACCCTGAGGACACAGATAAACCTCCAAGTGGCCTTAATGACTCTCTAAAGAGAATGCAAATGACCAGCTGTAGTTGAGGCACTTGGAGGTTGAAGCATCTGGATGACTGAGAATCTCCATAGACTTTTAGCCATGCACCCTTCGAATGGTGTGGGAATATGAACAGATTTCCAGAGAAAAATTGTTGACTAAAGGAACACTTGCACTACTCAAGTGACCCTGAGGACACAGATAAACCTCCAAGTGTCTCAACGACTCTCTAAAAGGATGCAAAAGACCAGCTGCCTGCAAGGACTATAAATCCTTCCATTCCCCACCATCCACTCAGAAGAGCTGAAGCAGCTTCTTCTTTGATAAGAAGCAAAACATCTTCAAAGAAAAAGCAAGAAAAGCCCAGTTGTCTCCTGAAAAAGCACTGTTGAAACTATAACCTTGGTAGTACAGTGGTCTAAAGCACCCTGTTATTAAGACCAGCTGCCTGCAATTACTGCAGGTTCGAATCTCGCCAGGCTCAAGGTTGACTCAGCCTTCCATCCTTTCTAAGGTAGGTGAAATGAGGACCCAGATTGTGGGGGCAATAAGCTGACTTTGTATAAATATACAAAAGTATGAAGGCTATTGCTTAGCGCATTGTAAGCCGCCCTGAGTCTCCGGAGAAGGGCGGCATATAAATCAAATTTAAAAAAAAACAAAAACCTGCAAGTTGAACCATTCAACATTTCAGCAGGCCAACTTTGGCTGTGCTCACAAACTCATCTTAGTATCTATTTGGATGGGAGATTACCAGATCTGTAAGATAAAGGGAGAAATTAAAAAAAAAAAAAATCCCAGAGGAAGGTCATGCTAAACCACTTCAGTGATATTGCCAGAAAAGTTTAGTGCACCAATTCATGAAATTAACTAGGAGCCTCCATTTTCTTGTGATCTCCATTTTTTCCCCTCTGTTAATATCTACCTCTCTTTCACACACATCTCTTTATCCCTCATATTTGTAATTATGGGGCGATTTACCTATCACTATTACCTATTTCACTTCACAGTCTTTAACTATTCTAAGGTCTTCATTCATGAATGAATGAAATGAAGACTTCCACATGTGGCTTCTAGGAACTGAGTCCCAGCACATCTGGAAGAAGCCAACTTGAGAAGAAAGTTCTAGCATAGATTCTCTGCAATTTTCTTATTTATAAAGAGGCTGGTGGCATAGGAGCTCATTTAAGAAAATTTAATTATCTTAATTTACAGGCCATATCATGCCTCATTTTCTTGTGCTGGCGTTGTATCTCCAAATTTGGGAAATTATACTGTGACAAATCTGATTTTCGAAGAATTCTAAATGTTCTATCCTATAATTTGGCATAAAATGTCTGTTTTTCTCTGGAAGAAATTATCCCTCCTCTCCCTGGTTATTTCAAGAAGAACCCTAACAGCAGTATTTCCTGGAATAGTCTCCTTTGAACCGCTGCTAATGAGAGTAGAACCTTTTTTTTTTCCCCTTCCATTTCTGCTGGCCATCTGCACCTTGACCACGCTTATCTTTTCATTAAGCAGTTGATTGAAAAGCTGAGGATGAAAATTGTATTTCAACCAGGAACAGATTGATATGAAGGAAATGTGAAGGCAGACCTCAGAAGGATCCTGGCACCAGCAGCAGAGGGAGTTGGGGGTCATTAGAACTGTCAGGTTGCATTGGGTCCAGGAAGTATTATAAGCATGTCTGTAAAGCTGGGCCACCGTGTGATAATTTGCTTGTGCTTGTTTATTTAACTGATGCCCTGCCAGTTCATCCAAGGATGGCACTTGAGATAGCCTGCAGTAAGGTTTACTTTAATTCTTTATCATTCAGTTATAATATGCATAACTCTCCAAGCAGTTAACTGGCTTGTTTGCTTGCTTGCCTGATTTGTTTATTATTTCATTTCATTTATATACCTGTCCATCTCAATCAATGACTCTGGCTGCCTTCCAATGCCAAATTTCTTTATTGTTGCAACTTTCCTTTCTCTCCAAACCCATTCAGTATCTTGGCCAACGATTAAGTAACATGGAGCCCCTAAGCACCCGGCACGCTGCCTTCCCCACCTGACTGTTCTTTTTTAAAGATACTTTCAATTTCAAAATTAAATAAAACGTTGAAAGACTCCAGCATCATGTTTATTTTGTCCCATTGCCTTTGAATGTCCGAAAAGTCTCGCTGGCAAGGAGATAGTTTGTCTTTATGAACTTAGATGTTGAGTATGTCTGGCTGTACTTACCATAGGCATTTCTTTTTGAACAGGTGTGTATGTGTGTCTTTGGTTGTGTGTTGTGCGCAAGTGCATGCCTTCAACTTATTGACTCCTGGCAATTGCGTGGACTAGTCCCCGAAGTTTTCTTGGTAGAACTTTCATAGCAGTTTGACATTGCTTCCTTCCTAGGGCTGAGAGAAAGTGACTGGCCCAACTGTCTTTGTACCTAAGGTGGGACTAGAACTCGCAGTTTCTCAGTTTCTAGCTCGGTGCCTTAACTACTACACCAAACTGGCCTTCCGTGAGACAATTAAAGCTCCTATAATAGCCATGTTGCGAATATGCCAACTAAATGCTTTCAATGTTTGAAATAAGTTTCTTATCTCTTCCCTAACCACTAGACCAGGTGTCTGCAACTTGCGGCTCCGGAGCCGCATGTGGTTCTTTGGGCCCTCTGCTGTGGCTCCCTGTTGGATGATCCCACCACTGGCTGGCCCCACCCCTCGCCCTCCCCTCCCAGTCACTCCTCACCTGGCCTGAGAAGGTAAGGGCGACGGCAGGGGATGGAGAAGTGGCCGGGGCAGAGACAGAGAGATACAGAGAGAGGGGGAGAGAGAGGGAGGGGGCAAAAGAGAGAGAGAGAGAGATGTCAAAAGGGTTTTGTGGTTCCCGTTGTTTTTTAACAACCGGTTCTCTGCCCTAATGACCAGCTGGGTAGGCGTGGCTAGGGGGGTCATGTGACTGGTGAAAGTGAGTGACGTCGAGTTGGCCACACCCACCGAGGTTTTGTGGCTCCCGGTGTTTTCTTTTCTGTGGGAAACAGGTCCAAATGGCTCTTTGAGTGTTTAAGGTTGCAGACCCCTGCACTAGACTCTTTATTTGCCCATTTCCTTCTGCCTGCCAAACATTCCATTTTACTAGTGTGGTGCTAAGAGACAGCTTGAGTCGAAAACCTATTTTTGTCTCTCTCTCTAATGCACTCTCGGTGCAGCATTTTTTTTTTCAAATATAACTTTCTTCTTTTATGCTATACTGTTTTCTTTAAAATCTAGCCCGAAGTAAATTTTCAAAAATGTAGCTTTAGCCACAATAGAATAGAATAGAATAGAATAGAATAGAATAGAATAGAATAGAATTCTTTCTTGGCCAAGTGTGATTGGACACACGAGGAATTTGTCTTAGGTGTACATGCTCTCAGTGTACATAAGGAGGATAAAATACATTCATCAAGAATAAAAAGATACAACAATACAAGATTATTGCAAGAATGCAATAATGAACTCCTGCAAACTCCACTCCCCTTTCGCTCCTCTTTTATTCCCTCTAGGAGGGGCCATTCATCGTCCACCTGTGGCCTTACTCCCAAGTTGACCCTTGTTCTTTAGCTGTTCCCTTCATCTGGCAACTCTGCACATATGTACCCTGGGAACAGGCTCTAGCTGTTACTCTGCCCCACTGATGTCCGACTTGGAAGGCAGCTGACAACTATCAGACGGCCCTGGCCACATCTCTGCCTCTGACGCAGAGCCCTCATCAGAGCCTTCCCCAGACTCCAGGACTGGCCCATGTTCCTCCTCAACCTCCTCACTCTCCGAATCTGCTGCCAGATTCGCTGGCGGGCCACAACACAATAAAGTAGAATAATCTTTTCAAAGGTTATAATCGATTAATAAATGCTTCCCATTCCCTCCCCCCCCTAAGACCAGTTCCTGCCTTGCCATGCAGGTTGCTTGGCCAGTCTACCAGTAAGAGAGAGGCATGGCTTTATTTAAAGCTGATGAATCAAACAAATATATTTCTTGCCCGATTAGGGTTGGCTTGGTAACATCACCTGTAATAAGAGCCAGCTGTATGTATTTTTATATATATATTTGAAAGAAGTAGAGCAGGTTGTTAAAAAATTTGGCCGGCTTATATTGGGCTCATTTATTTTTAGAACAAATTAAAGATGTTAAAGGGAAAAACAGCAGCCACCGTGAGCTGGGATAATGTTTCAGCCTCACAAATAGTATCCACTTCCAAGACAATGATGGGGAAAAAAATCAACTTTGACTGAATTCACACTCTGTACAAAGATGTGCTGTGGTTGTCGTGGCAGCATGGCTTCACATGTATGAACTCACACACTTGTCGTCTGTTCAGCTGACCAAGGTGCAGAATTTAGCACGATGTGAAGAATCCATGCAGTGGTTGTGTTTAGCTGAAAGGTTAATCTATAACATGGTATAAAGTGCTGTGTTTATTTTCACGGCTGGTGTGAGTATAGCTATTGTGATTTCTGAACCAGTTTGTGGATTAGAGGTTGGTGCAAATGCACCAACCAATCTCTGCACAGCTAATCAGCCTTGATTCAACCAAGCCAATCTGGTCTGCAAACTCAATCTGACCATAAAATTTGGATCCAGGTCACTATTCTTACTAGGACATCCTCATCAAACATTCTATATTATTTTTTGGATCCTGTAGATATATAACCAGATCATTAGCGAAGGCCCTCCATTTATAAACTTCTTTCTTAGTATTTATACCCCTTATTTTGTCATCTTGTCTGATACCTCTATTCAAAACTTCCAAAACCGAAATAAACAGCAGAGGGGACAAAAGGCATCCTTGTCTTGTGCCCTTTTGAAATTCACACGAATTAATTAAATCACCATTTATAACCATTTTTGCATCCTTTGACGTGTAAGTCACTTTAATTTCTGGGATAAAATTCACTCCAAAGTCCATTTCTTCCAGCACCTTAAACATAAAGCCCCAATTCAGGTTGTCAAAGGCCTTCTCTGCATCTAAAAAATGGTAGTAAACCAGTTCAGATTTTAGCACTGCTTACAACCGGTTTTCACACTTACAACCGTTGCAGCATCCCTATGGTCATGTGATCAAAACTCAAGACACGTGGCAACTGGCATGTGCTTATGATGGATGCAGTGTCCCGGGGTTTTGTGAATGCCTTCTGACAAGCAAAGTCAACGGGGAAGCCAGATTCGCTGAACAACAGCAATAAGGAAGGTTGTAAAATGGGGCAAAACTCACTTAACAACCGTCTTGCTTACCAGTCGAAATTTTGGGGCTAGATTGTGGTCGTAAATCGAGTACACAATCTGCTTCCTGGGACGGCTGAGAATCCTGAAGCCCCGTCCCAGTTAACGCGATAGCCGGTGACATGCATGTCAATGCTTGCTTCCCACCCAAGCAATTTCATTCACTCCAGTGGGATTTTATCACGTTGATCAAACAGGTTGGTGGCGTGAAGAATAGGAAGGCTGTATGTGTTTACCTGCTAATTTGAAACGGCACATTTACAAGTGGCTGTGACATCCACGCCGTGCCCTAAAGGCACAAATATCTGAAACAATTTATTTCTCACCCTCTTTTTTCCTGGCACATAACTCTTCGCTTCTGACATTCTGAGTGTTGCAGATCAGTAGTGATCCAATCTGATTCTTTCGGACTCTTTAATAAGAATGTCAGCGCACAACGGCGGAGGCTGTTATCAGGTAGCTGCAGCAAAAAAATAAAAAGGCAATGTCAGCTGTCGGGAAAAAGAACAGGCAGGCCAGCATTTTGCGCTGAAGGAGAAGCGTTCGCAAATCCTAGCAGATTTGGCCTCTGTTAGCCCATTTAATATGCCTGAATATACCAAACCAATCTCGGTTATTCTTGGCCCAATACTAGAGGATTTTAAGAAGAAATTGGACAATAGTTTTGTCTGAAATGGTCTAGGCTTTTTTTCTGAAGCTCTGTTTGGAGGCTTTTTTTCTGAAGCTCTGTTTGGAGGCTTTTTTTCTGAAGCTTCTGGTGCTTTTTTCAGCCTCTGAAACCTCCGTTTGAGAAGCTGGGCGAGGCTACATTCAGAGTAGAAGACGCATCCAGATTTTCACCCTCTTTTTTGGGAGAAAAAGGTGCGTCTTATACTCCGAAAAATATGGCATATTGTCGTGGGCTGAAATTTAGCATAATGTGTGAATCCACCATTGTGGCTTGCAAAATTGCTGATGCCCAAAGCCAGCCATTGTGATGTATAAACTGAAGTATTTGGGTTAATGTGATGCGCGAACCTGTCAATTGTCTCTTAGCCTAAATCAAGGAAGTAGCTGAATCCTCTTCCTGCAGATGAGTGGGAAGTTCATGCTTGACAATTAGGCAACTTAAAAAAAACTGTAAAGAGAACTCAACCCAAGTCCTGATGGGAACCAGGGATTTCATCATAAAGTCCAGATGTTATTGGACTTTAACTCCTGCCAATTTCCACCAACATAACCCCATGATCGAGGATGGAGAGAGTTGCAACAATCCAGCAATACTGATGGTTGTGTTGATTGAAGCTGATGGCGTGTTGTCCATTCATGTCAAGCACAGAAAATCAAGGGTCTACACAGTTCAAATGAATATACAGGTTTATTGCATGCTAAAGCTCTTTACAAGAATCCGAATTACTAACGATCAAAGTAAATTGGTGGTAGATAAAGAGTCAAAGGAATTCAAGGTGGGCTGGATTTAAGATCTCTTGTGGGCATGAAGGTACTCGAGACAGATGACGCATTTGACGCCTCCCTCAGGCTGAGCCTGCTCATCTCCTACAATTCACCTATAAACCCCAAAGATTTATCTGGCAATATACATTTAATAAATAAATAAATAATAAATAACTTTATTGTCATTGTACGTGTATACACAGTACACCCATACAATGAAATTCACTTAACACCCAAAGACCAGGTCCAACACACATAATAATCCCCAAACACACTCCCACCCACCACAATTCTCCACCCCTAAACCACCCAAACATCCACACAACATACCAAGTAATACTGTCCAACAGCTCACTGATGGTGGCCCTTTAGTTCATTGTTGAGTGCAATTATAGCTCTGGGATAAAAACGATTCAGAAAACGTGTGGTCCGAGTTTTAATTTTTCTGTATCTTCTGCCAGAAGGCAACAGTCCAAAAAGTTTGTAAGCAGGATGGGAAGAGTCTCTGAGAATGTTATGCAACTTTCTCAAACAACAAAATTCGAAGATGTCGTCCAGGGCTGGTAGCTGGAGTCCAATGATATTCTGGGCAGTTTTAATGATTCTCTGTAGAGCTTTTTTGTCCGCTACAGAGCTGCTCCCATACCATGCAAGAATGCCGTATGTCAGGACACTCTCAATAGTGCTGCAATAGTAGGACAGAAGTAGATGCTGAGATAGATTTATCTTCCTGAGCATTCTCAGGAAGTACAGCCTCTTCTGTGCCTTCCTTACAAGCATGTTACCATTCATAGTCCATGAGAGGTCCTCCGAGATATAAGTGCCCAGAAATTTAAAACTACCCATCCTCTCCACCTCCTCACCATTTATGTACAATGGTAGATGTGCATCTCTCTTCCTCCTGAAGTCAATTATAAGTTCTTTAGTTTTTGTGGTGTTAAGTGTGAGACGGGCTGTTTTGTAAGATCTCTTCAACCAGGTCCGTTTCTGTCTCATTGCTACATAGAAATCCAGCTGAACCATAGCAACTTCATCAGCGAGATTACTCACTACACAGAAACCACCCGAGGCACTATTATGCTGGATTCGTCAGTGCTTGTGGCTGGGGTAGTCATTGGAGTGGTCCTCTTTCTATCCTGCGTGGCCATCCTGATTGGCAGCCTGCGAAAAAATCAGTGCTTTCGACATCTCCAGCTGTGGAGCGATGCCAGCTACAGTAAGAGCATCTTCTATGTTTTCTTCTTCTTTTTTTTTCTTTCTAATGATACCCTCAAAATTAGGAATTGGATAAAGGTAATCCTTGACTTGCCGCCAATTCGTTTAGTGATTGTTTAAAGTTACAATGGTGCTGAAAAAAGTGACTTATGACCGGTTTTCACCCTTAACGACCGTTGCAGCATCTCCATGGTCACATGATCCAAATCCGGATGCTTGGCAATGGACTCGTATTTGTGACGGTTGCCATGAGCTGGGGTTTGCGACCTTCTGACAAGCAACGTCAATGGGCAAGACAGATTCCCTTAACAACCATGTTACCAACTTAACAGCTGCAGTGACTGACTTAACAACCAAGGTGGCAAGGAAGATCATAAAATGGGACAAAACTCCCTGAACAACTGTCTTGCTTAACAATGAAAATTTGGGGGAGGGGGGGTCAATTGTAGTTGTAAGTCAAGGACTATCTTGTACATAGTCGATAGTCGACTATCTCGACTATCTAATACATCTCGTATTAGAGATGTAAATATTTCTGACCTTCCTTTCCGTAGCCCTCACTTCATCCTAACAGTTGCATTCCTGTTGTGGCCCATCAGCGGCCTATGCAGCTAGTAGCTGATTCTGACAGCGAGGAGGCTGGTGTGGTGTTGCACCTGTGCAGCTGGCACTCGAGTCAGACAATGAGGAGGCTGGAGAAGATGTGGTGCCAGAGGCAGGGATTCAGCCAGGGCCTTCAGAACCTCCAGAAGCTCCCTTAAGTGAAGAGGAAGAAGAGGAGGAGCCTCTTCTCGATGCACGAGCGTGCAGAGCTGTTAAAAGGCAGGAGTGGCTCCTCAGGAGGAGGTCTCCTTGAGAGTAAGGCTTGGGGCTAATTGGCCACTCCCTTAGCCTATTTAACGAAGGAGGATGACTGAAGCAATTTGCAGGGAACAACTTTGTTCACTCTCCTTCGCGTCCTGATCTTAGTTCTCTTATGAGTTTCCTGCAAATTGCTTCTGGGCTTTCTGCCAACCATAGTAAGATTACGATTATTTATTCTTTGGATTCTTGCAGGCTGTTAAGAAAGTTAATTAACAGCCTTTGTTTGAAAAAGACTGATTTAATTTAGTAAACTAAGGTTTGTACAGACTTTGTGTGTGCTGCGTTCTTTGGGATCTGTAGCTGGGGCAGAACAATTCCTGGCTACGTCCTAACTATTTGTCATTTAGAATTTCCAAGATTCTTTGTCTGAACGACCCTTGTTTAATCCACCTTTTGGAACTGTGCCAATATTATTTTTCTTTTCCCCAGCTCCAGACTGTTTTTCCTATGGTGGCTCCGTCGGAGAGCTAAGATCCAGCTGCGCTGAAGAATTCCCACCAACATTTTACTATAGCTCTTACATGGAGGCACTTTCCCAGGCCAACATCATACACCCAGACTCACCACCACGGTAAATTTCTTTTTAATTGTTTTAATTATTATTTCAAAAACAGTTTTAAAAACGTTAAGCTTTCCCCAGTCTAGTCACAATCAGACTCTAGGGCAGTGATGGCAAACCTTTTTGGCACCAAGGGCCCAAACCGGAACATATGTGCAGGTGCATGCATATGCAGGGGTGGGTTCTATTTTTTTTTACTACCGGTTCTGTGGGCGTGGCTTATTTTGTGGGTGTGGCTTGGAGGTCATGTCACTAGGTGGGCGTGGCTAGCTGGTCAGTCATTTCTGGAAGGTCCTCGTACTTACAACCAGTCCTCGCACTTACGACCCTGTTTCAGCAGGCCGGCCTGGCCTAACTTTCCCTTTATATTGCTTTTTGATTTTATTTTAAACTGGGATGTCTTGAATTATCTAGGACCAGAATGTTTAGTATATTTTAATTGGTTTTTTATTATTAACATTTGTATTACATGTATTTTTATCGTTCGCTGTTCACCGCCCTGAGTCCCTTAGGAATAGGGCGGTATATAAATTTAATAAATAAATAAATAATAAATAAATTTGTTTGCTTTTAACACTGATCAGCTGTAGGGCGGCCCTTTGAAGCCCCGCGGCAAGAGTTTGAACAGTTTTTTTTCCCTCTAGTCATCAGCTGGGACTCAGGAGGCAGCAATAGATTGGGGGTGGGACCAAATAAAAGGTAGGAATAACGTGGGAGGGTGAGGGGTGGGAGGGCGGGGGGGAGAACCGGTTCGGTGACATCATATCGTCACCTCTACTGGCTTGGCCGAACCGGACTGAACCAGGAGGAACCCACCACTGTGCATATGCATGCGTCGGAGCACTGGAACCCCGAAGACCAGCTGGATGGCATGTGCATGCCTGTTTTTTTAGTCGTTTTTCAGTCCGTTTTCAGGCCATTTTTGGGGGGCCGTTTTCAGGCTGTTTTTTGGGACTGGTTTTGGGCTGTTTTGAGGCTGTTTTCCAGCACCCACGAAGACGAGCTGGCCGTGCACACCGGAAACCAGAAAAGCAGCTGGCAACAGCACACATGCCCACAGAGAGGGCTCTGCGTGCCACCTCTGGCACCAGTGCCATAGGTTTGCCATCACAGTTCTGGCAGGGTAGGGGGTTCATCTCTGTTTCCTAGTTGAGGGAGCTAGCATTGTCTGAAGACATTTGCATGGTCATATGGCCAACATGGCTATACGCCGAGGCACATGAAACAGTCTTACCTTCCCATTAAAGTGGTATCAGTTTAATCCACTTACATTTGCATGCTTTCGAACAGCTAAGTTCCTATTCATTGCTGATGATCAATTTAACTCTAACTCTGACTCTTAAATTCGTGTCGTAACATTTGTTTTAACAATTACTCAGAGTTTGACAATGGCTATTAACTCCATTTGCAAATCCCATCTTAACTTGGTTATTTAATTAAGCCATCTTCTGGGTTCCCACAGTACACTGAATTATCCATTAGCCAAACCATAGATTCACACAACTATGCTGCTTGAAAAGAAAGATCAAACCTAATCCATACTTGTAAGCTGTACAAAAGCAGTTATTAGATATTTGACTGAAATTGTAAAATGGAATTATCAGGCATCATTGCAAAAAATCAACTGAAGCTTCTTGATTCAAAGAATGACATAGGAACAGCCGTATGCTAAAACCATTGGCCAATATATCTCAAGCGCCTTTTGATCTCTGAACTCTTTTTGCTGCTATTGTTGTGTGCCTTCTCTGAACAGTTTCACCAAAAATTATAAGAAGTGTCCAAGAACCAGCAGCTTGATTTCCTATCAATTTCCAGATACAACACATACATACTAAAATGATGAATAAAAAGTGTAGACACATATTGTAAGTTGCCAAGAGCTACTACCATGATATAGATCAGGGGTCACCAACCTTTCGGACCTCAGGGACCACTAAATTCATAATTTTAAATCCCGTGGACCACTAATATGAATTTTTTAAAAAGATAAATAGCATTTAGTGCAATATAAAAAAAATGCAAATAATTTTTCTGCGGACCACCAAAATTTTCTCATGGACCACCAGTAGTCCATGGACCACTGATATAGATGACTATACTAATTAAATAAATAAACACCGCATACTTCATCTACTACTTTGATGACTTCTTGTGATCCTTCCACATTTCTGAGCTTCTAAGACACAAAAGACCATCAGCTGGTCAGAGATGGAGAGTGTAAGACTTAACTAAAATAATTTGCAAAACCTGTTTCCAAAACAAGAAATGGATGGATATCTGGTTTCTCATTTATAAAAGAGGGATCTTTTGCAGCACAAGCATAAGAACAACTCCCTAAGTGATTGCAACAAGATTCCACAAATAGGATTTGATTGTGCAAAAGCACAACATTGGGAATGGAGCTGAGATGTTGGGTGAGATTGTCTGTCTGTCTATATCTATCCATCCATGTATCATCTGTCTGTATCTATCTATCTATCTATCTATCTATCTATCTATCTATCTATCTATCTATCTTCTCTTCTTGGATTCTTAAGACTTGGCTTCATTAGATCCAGCCCTGCCTGCAGCTTGAAGGCTGCCAGAAGGAGCTTGGTCAATCTTCCTTTCTCTTCATATTCCCTGGTGTAGAGGTGAAGGCCTTGTCTCTTCTCAAGTAATTTTCATTTAAGCAGGACTTCATTCCAGTCATTTGCAGAGTCTTACTACACTCCGTTCTCAAGGGGTGAAAACATACAGATTTTCTCCCACTGACTTAATTACAGGAAGCAAATTCAACTCCTGGCAAGAGGCCCAATAAATCAGGGCTTTTTACAACCTTTCCATTCTCTTCCTGCAGCCTAAGTGGGAAGCTGCCCATCTGCTTAACTGATAAGAGTATCTAGAAAGTACAGCTTTTGTTTCCACCAGCTGGCATTTTTTGTCCTCCAGGCAAGGTTGCCAACTGCCAGCTCCGGTAATCTTCCAGGTTTCAGCCTTTCTCACCCTCTTCTCCCAGACCTCCTCCTTCTTTCCTTCCCCCGTTCATTGTAGGGCAGTGATGAGTCCTTGGCTTTGCATTCACCTTTTCCAGTTGCTAAGCATTCCGTGTTGTGTTACCAAAAGTTTAGCACCTCCCTTTCATTGCAGTGTTTTCCCTCCTCTGTAACAGATCCAAGGCCGATGTATTGAATACTTTGATATATTGCAGTTCTCTAGCGCTTCAGCCTGGACTTCTTCAAACCAGCAGTAAATAGAATAGAATAGAATAGAATAGAATAGAATAGAATAGAATAGAATAACAGAGTTGGAAGGGACCTTGGAGGTCTTCTAGTCCAACCCCCTGGTTAGGCAGGAAACCCTACACCACTTCAGACAAATGGTTATCCAACATCTTCTTTAAAACTTCCAGTGTTGGAGCAGTCACAACTTCTGGAGGCAAGTTGTTCCACTGATTAATTGTTCTAACTGTCAGGAAATTTCTCCTTAGTTCTAAGTTGCTTCTCTCCTTGATTAGTTTCCACCCATTGCTTCTTGTCCTGCCCTCAGGTGCTTTGGAGAATAGCTTGACTCCCTCTTCTTTGTGGCAGCCCCTGAGATATCGGAACACTGCTATCATGTCTCCCCTAGTCCTTCTTTTCAGTAAACTTGACATATCCAGTTCCTGCAGCCATTTTTTACACCGTGGCAACCAAAACTGAATGCAGTATTTCAAGTGTGACCTTATCAAGTCTTGGAGATCTTTGAGATAAAACCTGCTATCTGTGGTGGGAAATTGAATCAACCGGTTCTCTTCAAATCCCCCTGCATTTACTTTGATATCTTACATGCTGTAGGGGACACAATGGTTCAGTGATTAAAGATGTTGAGCTTGTCAGTTGAAAAGCTGACAGCTTGGGTTTGAGACCTGGACGCCATGTAGAACAGAATAACAAGGTTGGAAGGGGCCTTGGAGGTCTTCTAATCCAACCCCCTTCTTAGGCAGGAAGTCCTATACCATTTCAGGCACGTGGTTGTCCAATCTCTTCTTTAAAACTTCCAGTGTTGGAGCATCCACAACTTCTGGAGGCAAGTGGTTCCACTGATTAATTGTTCTAACTGTCAGGAAATTTCTCCTTAGTTCTAAGTTGCTTCTCTCCTTGATTAGTTTCCATCCGTTGCTTCTTGCGCGTGCCTTCAGGGGCTTTGGAGAATAGCTCGACTTCCTCTTCTTTGTGGCAACCCCTGAGATATTGGAACGCTAATGGATATTGGAACAGGCAATGGAGTGAGCTCCCATTACTTGCCCCAGCTCCTATCCAACTAGCAGTTCCAAAGCATGAAAATGAGAGTAGATAAAGAAGTACCACTTTGGTGGGAAGGTAACGGTATTCTGTGTGCCTTTGGTGTATAACCATGCTGGCCACATGACTACAGAAATATTTTTGGAACAATGCTGGCTCCCTTAGCTAAGAAACAGAGATGACCATCTCCCGCTAGAGTCAGATATAACTGGACAGGGGAAACCTGTACCTTTACCTTTATCCTAATCAGTGGTAGGACGCTGCCAACCGGTTCAGTGAGTGCGTGCTTCATGTGCACACACGCTTTGTGTGTGTGCGTTCTTAAAGCACTTGAGCGCAGCGCTGAAAATGGAGCATTTAGAAGCTCACCTTCCAAGTCAGCAACGGTAAATAGAACACCGAGGGGGGGGGAAATCAGCTGTGCCACGTGATTGAGATGAGCTAGAAAGCAGGAAATAAAGGACAGGATAGGGCGTGAGCAGGTGGGCGGGGCTAGCTGATTGTTGGAGCTACTGGTTCACCGGTCCAAACCACCTCTGATCCTAATTCCTACAGGCTGAGCTGATGTCAATGCAGAAGTAAATCCCACTGAGATCCAAGAGACTTACTCCAAGGCAGGGGTGAAATGTAAAATTTGTTACTACCGGTTCTGTGAGCGTAGCTTGGTGTGTGTGGGGGTTAATGTGACTGGGTGGGCTTGGCCAACTTTTTTTTTTTTTTTAACTTTTCAAAGCATTTTTTCTAATGCTTTGAAAAGCCTCTGAGGATCCCAGCTGAGCCGTGCGATCATCAGAGATTTTTTTTTTACTTTTACAAGCATTTTTTCGTCGGAAGAGGTTGTAGAAAAAATGCTTTTAAAAGTAAAAAAAAAAAAAAAAAAAAAGCCTCTGACAATCGTGCGGCTCAGCTGGGCATGGGATGGGGGGGCGCAGGGATTTTTGTTACCGGTTGTCCGAACCACCCGCAGCCATTGCTACCGGATCGGGCAATCCGGTCCGAACCAGGAGCATTTCACCCCTGCTCCAAGGTCATGGGTTACAAAACCATATGACTGAATGAGTTACATTATGACCCCTTTATACCTTGCAGAAGTCTGAAGGAGGCTCCCTATGATAGATGCCAGGTTGTTGGTTTTTTTCCTCTGGGTAACCATGTCAGGATAGCAAATGTCCTCATATATTTTGCTCTGTCATAGCCCCAGGTTAAGGAGTGTGAAAAACATAAATTTTATAGAATACAGTCGAGAATCGGTATAAAGAATCACTGAGGACAAACTCAATGTTATTCTACTATTTTGCTCCTTTCCAGAGAGTTAAAAGGTGGCCAACCATCATAAAATACGAAAATTCCACTTGTTAGGCACATTTAACAAATATAAAGCCATGTTTTTCAACATTGGCCATTTTAAGATGTGTGGACTTCAACTCCCAGAATCCCTCAGCCAGCCAGATGTAATGGGAGTTCTAAGAGAATGATTTTTTTTAAGACAGACTTCTGTTGCATCTGAGATTTTTGATGCCATTGCAAGGTTGTTGAGTTTTTTCGCTCCACTGAACCATGACCAGTACTTGAAAAAAAACTGTATGTAATGGGGAGATGGAAAGCGCATGTAGATTTTTAAATGATGGTTTGTCTATCAAACCATCAATCAACCATCAATCAAATACCAACCAGGGGTCTTGCCCTGAGCCATACATGTTGTTGTGACCTAGGCTCAATTAGGCATTACCAGACACAATTAGTCTTAAACAAACCTATTTTATTATAACATCTGGGAATTACGTTCATTCCCAGCTTAGTCCAAATTAATTCCAAAACAAGTCCTTCAGAAAAAGTCCTTCGGCTTATCACAAACTTTTATCTTCTTTGGAACCCTGCCAAAGGCCTTTCTTGGCAAAGCCCCACAAAGTTCAGAAACAAGAGACGCCGACTGCAAACAGATTTAGCAATGTTGCTTTCCTACAAAGAGCCCAAGAGCCTTTGTTGCTCTTTTAAGCCTTATGGGAGGGGCCAATCATCTCCTGGCCTTATTCCCAAGTCATCCCTTTTGCTTTAGCTGCTCTGGCAGCTCTGGGCATGCGTGCACTAGAATCAGGCTCCTCCTGTTCCTCTGCCTCTCTGCTGTCCAACTCTGGAGGCTCCAGAATCCGCACATCACTCCCAGATGGCCCTGGCCCCATCTCTGCCTCCGATGCAGAGCCCTCGTCCAGGTCTTCCCCAGACTCCAGGACTGGCCCATGGTTCTCCCCAGCCTCCTCACTGTCCGACTCTGCTACTAGCTCCGCAGGCTGCTGGTGGACCACAACACATGTCCAATAAAGTTTGTATCAGGTGAAAGGGGCTTTCAGGAATTCTGGGATTCCCAAACTGGAGGGCACCAGTTTGGGAAAAGATCATAGGGGTCAAACGAGGCAACCATTACAGCTGAACACAACATCAACACCTGGGACCAAATCTTCTGAGAATCGATTAACTCGCACTGCTGACCAATGAAGCAAAGCCAAGTCCCATTTCTTTTGGTGGGTGGCTGTTCTTCATTTTAAATTTTGAAGGGCAGAAAAACTATTTATATACAATTCTAATTAGGACATTAATTTATGAAAGATGCCTTCGGGATGTTAATAATTTAATTGCTTTGATGTACGAGCTACAGAAATCTCATTTGCGATTAAATGTGATTATCTCTCTAAATGTATCCCTAATCGGTTCTCATACGAGTCTACAGATTTCATTTGGGATTATTTTGCTTTCTTTCTCTTCCTGCTTCCCTTAATCAGGATCCTGCCAAAGCATTCAGATGGAACCACTCTAGTCTATTTTTCTTGAAAGGGTACATCAAAAGTAATATCCATAAATATCCCTCTCTTAATGGGTTTCCTGGGGACCCAAATTCACTGGAAACATGTCAGATCTATTTTAGAGTTAGTATTTTAGAAAGAGCAGATACAGAGGTTTTTTTTAAAAAAAAATAGGCAGGCAGACTCTATTTGGCTGCTCTGTGTAATGACTCAGGCTTGTTTGTTTATCTGTGTATTTATTTAATAAACATATAGATCATCCATTTCCTCTGGATGGCTCACAATTAAATAATTAAAATGAAATAAAAATAGAAGAATAGAATATTAAAACATTTATAAATTATCTAAATAAAGAAGGAAAAACTATTGTAAATAGAATAAAAACAGAGTTAAAAACAAAAAAAAATAGCTAAGAAGACTCACAATCACAAAACAGCAATGCTATTTATTTATTACGGATAAAGGAGAATATTTGTAACTCTGGGTTGAAATGAAGGGTCCTTGGTGCTCTCTGAGCTTGCTTGTTTTCTTCCGAATGTTTTATTACCAAAATAGGTCACATCGCGTCAGTGCTCAATCTATTTATTTATTATTTCAGTTAATATAATTAATGGTCGATGGGGGTTTGGATTTAATTAGCAGCCCTCTGTCCTTTACGGTAAGCATGGCAATTTCCTTTTAAAACTTCTTGTTCCTTGAAAAAGAATCATCCAGTTCAGTGGTGGGATTCAAAAAATTTTTTACTACCGGTTCTGTGGGCGTGGCTTGGTGGGCGTGGCAGGGGAAGGATACTGTAAAATCTCCATTCCCTCCCCACTCCAGGGGAAGGATACTACAAAATCCCCATTTCCTCCCAATCAGCTGGGACTCGGGAGGCAGAGAATAGACAGGTGGGGCCCGTCAGAGGTGGTATTTACCGGTTCTCCAAACTATTCAAAATTTCCGCTACCGGTTCTCCGAACTACTCAAAATTTCCGCTACCAGTTCTCCAGAATTGGTTAGAACCTGCTGAACACCACCTCTGAGCCAGTTCAGGAAAGAGTAAAACATATTTAACTTTGTGCTTCATCTGCTACATTCAATTCTATTATCTCTGACTTCCCTTCCGAATGGAGATCTGTATGTTATTGTTTTGAATGGATGGATTGGCCTGAAATTATGCAGGAACTACACAGTGGCTGTTATTTTCTTTCAGGTACGATGAGTGTGTTGGGCCCGGAGCAGCGCAAATCTACCTTCCAACAGAAGATCCTCCACCTTATTCTCTGATAGACCCTTGTCAGCATAATGATGTGTCTATAAACAATCCCTTGGAAGAAAGGGGATCTACCAGTACAACAATGGGACGGGATTCTGAGGGCTTGGTTAGGATACAGGACCTGCATCAACCTTCCACGGCCTTGTCGTCATCCTTCCCAACCGAAACCGCTCCTCCGTACGAGGCTGTTATGCGTGAACAGAACGTTCCTCTCCCACAAGCCTCACTCGCCCTGCTGAAAGGTTCAGCAGATTATCATCGGACACTTTTTGACAGAGTAGCTTAAACGAATTACGCCGCGGGCACATCAGAAACGAAGCCTTCGAGGCGAAGACGTGTGGAAAGATGAGCTGATCGCTCACCCATCGGTGGACGGGCATCAAAACTTTTTCTCTTTTTCTACTTTGAACAGGGCTAGGCTGGGCTGCTTTTTGGAGACACGGGTTTTTGTTTTCTTTCTTTAGTGGTAGAACGTCTCTGGAAAGCTGGCTTATCGATGTCTTTTGCACTGTTTCCTCTCCCATTTTGAAAATGGTAAAACACCAAAAGCAATGCTAAGGAAGGTGGACATCTCCATTTTTAAAATGTCTCCTGCTCACCCAGGGGCGTATGGAACTGTCAGTTCTTGTTGGATCTTCCCTGGTTCGGGAGGAAAAGTTGCCCGAAATCAACTTTGGTGAGATGGGCAACTCGATAAATTCGATTAATAAATAAAAGGCATATTTCTTAAAAAGTACAACCAATATTTTAAGCACTGCTTATAAGCCGGTAGAGATACATAACAAGAGGAAGGGATTCTTTGTAAGGAAAATGTGGGTTGGGTTTTACAAAACCGCACTAGGCTAAAATATGGGCTGGCTATGTTTGCACCTCAGTGTGGTCTGGGAAAATAGCCATCCTGAAGCCAACCGGTTTGCCTATCAACACGACCTACCTCGCAGGAGAGTTGGGAAGCTAATAAAATAGGGAGAACGCCATCCATGTTGCTCTGAGGTCTACGGAGTAAGTTCATAATGACGATGATTCAATGTATGTACCAAAATATGATTCTCCCAACTAATAATTGACTACAGATTTCTTGAAGCATCTCAGATCATTCATTTGTTTACGGGAATCTGATTTTTTTTCTGAGCTGTAGCTCTGAATTCTAGAAAGTAGTTTGCTGGTCTCCTTCCATGGTTTTTGCAAGCAGGGAGCAAAAGAATTATTTTGCTGAGACTCTTAAGGATTTTAAATCTCTGCTTAGGTTCTTGATGGCTTGCTGCTATATTCTTGTTTTACTGTGGCTGTTGTTTCTGTCCTACAAAACATCTAACATCGTTAGAGAATTTTAACCCATTATCTTTTTTTACAAAATCATATTCTTGCTCTTTGGAAAAAGTGGAAGTTCTCAACCTCCAGTTGTTGTTCCTTTGATCTCTTCCACTCAGACTAAATTCAGTTCCTTAAGGCAGGGCTGTCCAGCCAAAGTCCACTTGCCTTGGAAAATGCTGGCCGTAGCCAGGGGTGGGCTTCAAAAATTTTAGTAAGGGGTTCTCTGTTCGGTTGCTGGGTGGGCGTGGCCATGGTGGGTGTGGCCTAGTTGACCTCTTGCATCACGGCAGGGGGGGTTGCCCTCCCCGGGTTCCGGAGGTTTTTCTTGAGCCTCCGGGATGGTGAAAACCGCCTCCCTAGGCTTCGGAGGAAACGGGCCCGTTTCCAGCCTTCTCGAACTTCCGGTAGGCCGGTTTTTCGTCCTCCCTGAGCCTCCACATGCAACCTGCACTTACTTGCATCCAAAACAAGCAGCATGGGGACTCCTGGGAGGGGCAGGGAGGGATGAGCGGGGCCATCCAGGAGTGGGATTTGGGAGTTCTCCAAACTGCACAGAATCTTAGCTGGAGGTTCTCCCGAACCCCTGCAAACCCCCAGCAGCCCACCCTTGGCCTTAGCTCCAGAAATCTCCAAACTTTCTGTCCAAAATTTGTATTTCCATGGGTGCATTTTAATTTGATACAAGGGAGAAATGTAGCACATGGGGGGAGGGGGAATGAGCATGAACTTGAGATCAAGTCAACTTTTATTTTGGTCCTTCCTCATTTATTTTTGGAAGTGTAATCTCAAAAGGAAGTGGGCCTCTGACAAAGGACATTCACTTCTAGCTAGAACGCCCATGCCTAAAATCTCTATGGTTTCCCCCTTGTGACCAGCTGAATTTTGATCACATGAGCATGGGAAATGCTGAAGTGGTCGTAAGTGTGGAAAAATGGTCATAAACTACTTTTTTCAGTGCCGTTGTAACTTTGAACAGTCACTAAACAAACTTTTGTAAATCAAGGACAACCTGTGTTGTATTTAACTTGTAGAAAGTCTACAACAGCTTCTTATCGAGCACAAATCACAAATCTTTGATCCATCCAGGATCAAATATCCTTGCTTGGTTCTGAATAATAAAACTTTTCCTTAAGATTTTGATTTGGACCTTTCCCAACAATTGCATCTCTTCCCCAGAACCATACCAGAAGTCTTAATGTTGCCAAGTTGAGAAACAACCATGGTGCTTCATTATCCATGGATGTCCCATTCTTCCTCTGCAGATAAACCTCGACTTACGACCACAATTGAGAGCAGAATTCATGTTGCTAAGCAAGATGGTTGGAAATGAGTCGTGCCTGATTTTATGACTTTATTTCCCAATGAGTGGCTAAGCAAATCACGGCAGTTATTAAGCAAATCACAAGGCCATTAAAAGCAAATCCGGTTTGCCCCTGTCGACTTTGCTTGTCAGAAGCTGGCTGGAAAGGTCGCACATGGCAATCATATGATCCTGGAACGTGACAGCCATCATAAATACATGCCAGTTGCCAAGCAATTGAATTTTGATGATGTGATCGATGCACCATTTGTAAGAGTGAGGACCGGTCATAAGTTTCCTTGTAACTTTGAACAGTCGGTAAATGAATGGTTATAAGTTGAGGACTATCTGTACATTGTAGCGAGAATAGAATATGGCTTGTTTTGCTCTGTTTGTTTGTCTTTTAGCAATCTTTAGAAATGTAGCAGCAAAAAAGGTGGCATTTGCCTCTGGATATAGAAGACTAAGTATTGTAAAGCATGGGATTCCATTAACAATTAAATGCGAAAACAAAAAGACCCATCTGTGATGATTGCTTTACGTAGCATAATAGAAAGAGAATTGTATTTCTCCCTGCTGCTAATTAAACGATGGATATTTGTATAATGATTCCAAAGAGAAGAGCAATAAAAAAAATACATGGAAAGCTTTTACAACATGCATTAAGCCAGCCTTTTTGGAGTTAGAAATATTCTAACAATTTAAATTTACCTGGGATAATTCTTTCGCCAAATCTTAAAATACTTGCGTGATTCAAAAGCTTGCTCTATATTTATTAGATATGAATAGGTGGTCCAAAATATTCCAACATTATTCCAAAATGCAAACCTTGGTTTGTATCCAAGTTACATGATCTAAGACAGGGGTATCAAACTCAAGGCCCAGGGCTGGATTTGGCCTTCGGGGTGTTTAGATCTGGCCCGTAGCGCCACTCTGGAAACATTGACGAACTAGCCCGCAGTGCTTCTGCCAGTGAAAACAGAGCTTGCGAGGGCTGCAGGCAGCATTCCCAACTCAGGGCTAGGTGACGATGTTGTGGCAAGTGGGCGGAGCCTCCCACCGCCATTACTACCAGTTTGCAAGAACCGGACCGAACCGGTAGTAACCCACCACTGTCCCAACTCCATTTTCATCAGCAGAGGGTTGCAGGAGGCCGTCACAGCCGAAAATGGAGCTCGGGAGCCCATTTTCGTTGGCCAAGCGCTCAGGCCACCACAGGCGCCTCCGACACAGTGATGTCGAGCTGGCCATGCCCATCCCGGCCCTCCAGATCAAACACAACCCTGACGCAGCCCTCAGTGAAATCGAGTTTGACACCCCTGATCTAAGATTATAAACAGCCTCCTGACCCAAAGACATACTTCGGGGAAACTGAATCTGCAGGATGTTTCAATCTCATTAATTTGAAGTAATTGTTTATCTGTAATGTTTTGATTTTTTTGAAAACCTTTCCACACCTTATCAAGGTGCCAGCAGGTCAGGGAAAAATTCAGCAGCACTTTTTGATGTTGTGGGTCACAACCAAGTTATGGGAAGTGGTATCTTCAGAGGTCTCATGAGAATAACTGTTTTTACTTACAAAGTTCACAACATCTATGAGTTTAGGAAGAATATGCCGGATCCACCAAGGGCTCAACTACTCTCAACATTCTACGTTCCAGAATGGCCGATAGTGATAACCTCCCCAGATATTGGGCCCGGGGTTGCGTTTAAACTGGTTGACTTGACCATAATGACGCTATAATGATTATAAAGATTGAAAGAAAATGCTTGCTTTACCTGAACACCCTTCCAATGGTCCTGTGCCAGATGTGGCCTTCAGGGCAAGCAGTCCCAGGTTTAATCTACTGCACCTGACATAAAACAAAATATTCATTAAATGATATCTCAGGTTTATGTTTACAAATAACTTCAAAGTGGCAACATATTCAACACACTTTCCTCCTCCTATTTTCCCCACAACAAACACCCCTGTGAGGTGGTTGCAGTGGTGGGTTTCAACCGGTGTTACCACCGGTTCGCTTCATGCACGCGCTTCACACATGCCAAACTAGCGCTCCACGAAAGCGCAGTGTATTATGGAACAGCTGAGATGCGACTATCCGCTCTGCCGCACCTTTCAGCTGGGCTAAAAATAACCAAATATAAGGTATGTATTATGCAGGGGCGGGCAGGAGGGCCAACCTAACCGTCAAAAGAGAACTGGTTTGCTTTCAGCTCACCATCGTCACTAACAGCTCGCCCGAACCGGGCTGAACCAGTAGAAACCCACCATTGGTGGGTTGGGCTGAGAGAATGAGTGACTGGCCCAAAGTCACCCACCTGGCTTCCATGGCTAAGACAGGACTTGAACTCAACAGTCTATAAAATACAGGTAGTTCTCAACTTATGACCACAACTGAGCCCAAAATTTATGTGGCTAAGTGAGAAATTCGTTAAGGGAGTTTTGCCCTATCTTGCGACTTCTTGCCATGTTTGTTAAATGAATCATTGCAGTTGTTAAACTAGTAAGATGGTTAAGTGAATCTGGTTTCCCCATTGACTTTGCTTGTCCGAAGGTCGCCCAAGGGGATCACATGACCCCAGGACGGCTGCATAACCGTCATAAATGTGAATTGGTTGTCAAGCATCCGAATATAAATCATATGACCATGGGGATACTGCAACGGTTATAAATGTGAAAAATGGTCCGAAGTCAGTTTTCAGCGCCTTTAACTTCGGTCACTAAATGAACCGTTGTAAATCAAGGACTACCTGTAATAACAACCATCACCCATGGTGGCACTTCTAGAACAAACTGAGTGGTCAATGCCTGGAATGCTCTACCTGACTCCTTGTTACATCCTCAAATCCCCACAGTTTCAACTTCAAACTCTTTACTGTGGACCTACTCCCTTCTTAAGAGGTCCGTAAAGGGGGCGTGCATAAGCACACTAGCATGCCTACCGTCCCTGTCTTACTGTCCCCATTTATTTACTTCCTTTGTTTATAGAATAGAATAAGGAGTAGAGTAGAGTAGAGTAGAGTAGAGTAGAGTAGAGTAGAGTAGAGTAGAGTAGAGTAGAGTAGAATAGAATAGAATAGAATAGAATAGAATAGAATAGAATAGAATAGAATAGAATAGAATAGAATAGAATAGAATTCTTTATTGGCCAAGTGTGATCGGACACCCAAGGAATTTGTCTTTGGTGTGTAGGAAGTTAGCACCCACCCCTTTCCTAGAAGAATGAAATATTTTAGGAAATATTAAAAAGGCAAAATATTATGTTTCCCTGGATGAGAAATGGAGAAGCATGTTTTAAAGACAAAGCAGCTCCCACCTTCCTGCCCTCACCCTTTTGTTAATGGGCCAGAGGCAGAAACTCAATCTTTGTCAATGGACCATCTTCTGCAACATAATGGGATCCATTTAGCAACACAAACTCACCACATGGCACCTGGGAAGATTACATCAGCCAGCAAGGCTAGCTAAGACCCCCACCCCCTGGGAGTCTGACAACCAATCAGGATACTCTTTCTGGACCCCAGGAAGTTCAAAGCCAGAGAGGGCATAAAACCCGGGGACTCGCTGTATCTCGCCCCTTTTCTGTTCAGGAATTCAAGCCAGGTGAGCCTGTCCATCATTAAACCATCTTTCCAAACAGTCTCCATGTTTCAAGTGTCTTTTTCCCCCACTTGGAGCTGAACCCAAAAGGATATTTCTTCCTACAGGTGCCTATACTCTCCGTGTACATAAGGAGAATAAAACACATTCTTCAAGAATAAAAAGATACAACACTTAAATGATAGTCAAGGTTATTAACAAGCTATCAAATCGTACTAGGAAACAAGTAAAAACAATATAAGCACATGGTTATAGTCATAAGTGGGAATAAGTTTATGTTCATACCTAGTTATCTATACATGTTTGACAAACATACATATATAACTAACTAACTAGTTAGTTAGGCTCAAGGTTGACTCAGCCTTCCATCCTTTCTAAGGTGGGTAAATTGAGGACCCAGTTTGGGGGGGCAATAAGCTGACTTTGTAAAAAAATATACAAAAAAGTATGAAGGCTATTGCTTAACGCATTGTAAGCCACCCTGAGTCTCCGGAGAAGGGCGGCATATAAATCTAATTTAAAAAACAAAACAAAAACTAACTGAACCCCGGAGAGAGCCAGCCAATCCCCTCCAGCCTGCCTTTGAACGGCGGATAACCCAAAGCAAAGAACTCAATTCCCCTTCTCCCTTCGGTTTCACTTTCGCTTTGCAGCCCCGCCCACTTCCCCGCCTCCTGGCCAGCCCGAAATGAAAAACTACGACCGCTCTGTCTTGAGCGACAGCAGGGGCGGCCACTGGCACGGCGGGCAAAGCCACGGCTGAGCCAATGGCAGCTTCAAACAGCCTCCTTCTCTCTCTCTCTCTCTCTCCGCCCAGCGAGCCCAAACGAAGCCACAGGTGGGAAGAATCCTCCGCTTCCGCGTCCTGCGTCCTGCGGAGGAAAGCGCGGCTGGCCGTCGGGCTTTCCGCCGCCGAACTTTTGTCCCTGTAGGCGCGGCAAGAGGGCAGCCAAGTCCCCGGAGGGGCTTCGGGCACCAGGATGAGGAGCTGCCCGTCTCTGGCCGCCCCGCGCGAAGTTTTGCAAGACTACCTGGCTTTCTACCGCGCCACCTGGGCGGAAGGCAAACTAAGCCTTTGCAACGAAGCGCCGCTGAAGAGCCGCGCCGGGTTCCAGGCGGGCAAGTGGGACGTGGGCGCGATCGCCCAGAGCTGCTGGACTAAGATGCGGGGCCGGCGGGAGGCCGGCGCCGTCTTCCTCCGCAAACTGAGCCAGGCCTTCGGCTACCTGGAGCTGCTGTGCGTCAACCTTTGCCTCTCGCCCTGGAGGAAGGAGATCAAGTCGCTGAAGGTAACAAGTAACAGTAACAGTAAAAGAGAGCTGGGAGGGACCTTGGAGGTCATCTAGTCCAACCCAAGGTAGCCTGGGAGGGTGCGGGGGGGAAGGAAGGATGCAAGGAAGGAAAGGAAAGGAAAGGAAAGGAGGCGAAGGTCCCCAGTGGGTTTGGCCACTTCTTGTCTTTGATGGAGAGGGGGGATCTGGGGGGGAAGGCTTTGCTCCAGGAACCCGAGGTAGAGAAGGTTAAAAACAAAAATCCTCCGATTTTACACCCTGACCTAATCTCCTATGCCTGGCATGGTCTCCAACCTTGGCAACTTTGTGGACTTCCAACTCCCAGAATTTCTCAGCCAGCTTTGCTCAGCCAGCTTTGGAAGTTCATACTTTTGCCCTCACTTCTCCATTTGGCTATCAATTCTGCCTTTCCGTTTATAGCATCCCAAAAGTGGTCAACTTCAACTTCCAATTTAATTTATCCAATAGCAACCCTATGAGGGAAGCTGGGTTTTGGTCCATCTGGTGCCCTCCAAATTTGTTAGATTGGAATACCAGGAATAGAATAGAATAGAATTCTTTATTGGCCAAGTGTGATTGGACACACAAGGAATTTGTCTTCAGTGCATAGGCTCTCAGTGTACATAAAAAGACAAGATACATTCGTCAAGAATAATAAGGTACAACACTTAATGATAGTCATAGGGAACAAATGAGCAATCGAATCATACTAGGAAACAATATAAATTGTAAGGATACAAGCAACAAAGTTACAGTCATGCAGTCCTAAGTGGGAGGAGATGGGTGATAGGAACGATGAGAAGACTAATAGTAATAGTAATGCAGCCTAATGTGAATAGTTTGAGAGTGTTGAGGGAATTATTTAGCAGAATGATGGCATTCAGGAAAAAACTGTTCTTGTGTCTAGTTGTTCTGGTGTGCAGTGCTCTATAGCGTCGTTTTGAGGATAGGAGTTGAAACAGTTTATGTCCAGGATGCAAAGGGTCTGTAAATATTTTCACAGCCCTCTTTTTGACTCGTGCAGTATACAGGTCCTCAATGGAAGGCAGGTTGGTAGTTATTTTTTCTGCAGTTCTAATTATCCTCTGAAGTCCGTGTCTGTCTTGTTGGGTTGCAGAGCCAAACCAAACAGTTATAGAGGTGCAGATGACAGACTCAATAATTCCTCTGTAGAACTGGATCAGTAATCTCATATAAACGCCCAGAAAGCCAGAATATTGCCTTGGTTCCACTAAACCTATTGAGATACTGTGCCATATCTTTTAGAGATGCTAGGATCTGCTCATCATTTTGCCAGATTCCTGTCCAATGATCAATATCCCAAAGGCCAGATTTAGCTAACCACATCTCAGATAAAGAGATAACAGAGGAGCATACAATGCAGTTTCAGCAGGAAGGAAGATTTCTAAAGGTAGCCTGATCCTTTGGGGTCAGTCAGGACGAGTCCTTATCCTGTTGCTTGAAGTCTGAATTCTTCTGTTGATTGTATCCACAAGGAAGATCTTCAACCCATAATTTCACAGAATAGTAATACTTTCTCCATGCTGATGTCTCCTAATGTTATTTTTCTCGTTCTCTTTAGACTTTTACAGGCAACTTTGTCTACCATGTAAAGTCCATCCTTCCAGAAAGTGTAGTACAACAACTGCTGTCTGAAATGGGCTACGTTGCCACCTCTGCTACCGAATATTCCCTGGTCAGAAAACTAAGTGAGGAAGAAGCGGAGAACACTGCATTTGAAATGTTCCTTGCAAGAATTGAATGCGAAAACCTTCTTGAAGTTGCAGGGGACATGAAAGACAGTGACCTCGCTGACATCCTACAGAAGAGGGCCCAGAAACCTTGTCTTCCTTGTGTTGGGTTAGCTAAAAAGCAGGAACACTCACAAACAAAAGAGGATGTGGCCGTTGGAGAAAGCAACGGGGCACCAAATCCTGCATTGGCCTACTTGAGTCATAGTCAGAGTGCCTTCAAAGAGCAGGACAAGATTGAGCATGGCAACAGCTTTGGTCTCCAATCCATTACAACGGAGACTCGGCCAGCAGCTTCCAAACAGACACCTGAGCAGGACAGGAACCAAAACCAAACGGAGGAAACCTCGACACATTCCTGCATCAGAAGCACGGACAGTGAGGACTTTCTGATTAAATACAGCGACATTGTCATTGGACAACAGCCTCTCCACTTCTCTACCTCTTCATCGAGAGCAACCAATGAGGAGGCCTGGCTTACTGAAACAAGGCTGGGCCTACCAACCCGTGGGGAAGAAACCCTCCCTCATCTGCCTTCTGAGGAAAGTGGCCCTCAGGCCCTAGCTATCCTCAACGATTCTACGGTGGTAAGCAAAACTCCTTATGATTACCAGACTCGGCAAACGATGAAGGAATCCAAAATCTGTGATGCCATGAAGCGTCTGGGCATTCCTGGGTCGGATACAATTGACGAACCCAAAGAACTGAAAGGTAGCATGGCACGGCAGTCACCTAACTCCTCCAGTGACTTGGCCTTGATGGTAGATGAGCCGAAGAACAAGGAAGACTACGTAGAGAAGTTGATGTATCCTGTGGAAGAAACGGCACAACCAGAGTCTGCAAGGAGCCACCGAGTCCCTGAAGAACGTTATCATCCTGAGATGAAATCTGCCAACCTCTCCTGTGGAGACAATGACAACATAGACCTCTATTCATCAGATCACTTCAGTCATATCGCCGGGTGCAGCTATCCCACGCCAGGTCCGAGTTATAGCAGACATCTAGATGTCCCAATTTTGACCTGTCCCATTCCCACCGAGGATCAATACTGTGGTGACATTCCAGCAGGTATTCGGCATAGGCGAGAAAGATACCCCCTTCATTCCTCTTTGGCGGACTTCGATACTCGTGGGGCGCATGGGAACGAACCTAGCCTAGACGGTTATGTTGTTATTAAGAAAGATAATTAAAAAGTAGATCCCTCAGAGCTCTGGGACCAGCAAGTCAGGATTTACTGAGTTGTGGCGAGATTGGTGATACGGTCTCTTAAGAGCATTGGGGTGTTTACAGGCTTCTCATCCACTGGTAAAATCTTGCAAGAGAGGATCATGGGATATTTCATAGGACTTCAAATGTGCTCAGCTAAGACCTCATGAGAGGTTTAGCACCATCTTACTGTGAGATCATTGAAAGAACATTATACTTTTAAGGGAAAAATCACCACTCCTTCAATTTCCAAGGAAGGAATTTTCATCCACTTATGTAGCTCCAACGTCTCCTCTGAATTTCCCTCTCTGTGCTCATGGCTTAAGGGTTGGCAGGCCTGCTAGAGAAGGGTACTGTTAGGGTTCCAAGTAACACTCCCAACGAAATCAAACTCCGAGGCTTGAGTTTCCTCAAAGCTAATTTTTATTAGAGATGTCATATTGGCACAACTGGGAAAACCCGAATCTGAGAGCTTCTGGGTTTTTCTCGCCCAAAAGAAAGTTCAGGTCCTTGCTCTTCACCCACATGTCCATCACACGAACCAATCAGGTACCCTCCAGAACAGAAGATACCTCATTCTTCTCAACACAGCTGCAGGGCACCACGGCCTTGACTTTCTAGAAAGAATGTTATTTTGACTACATATTATCTTCACTCCATACAATCCTCCCTCCCATTTTCTCACAGTAGAATTTGTGGAAGGCCTGAAGTCTCAAAAGGTGAAAAGATGGCTTCCAGGTCCGACAGGTACACACATTTGGGGGAGAACACTGGTGCTGCCCGTTTCTTCCTCTTTTATGCAGTTCCCAAGTGCCTGAAAACTGTGCAGGATAAAGAACTAGGACTAAGAAACTGTACAAATCAGGAATGCTTTGGTGAAGCTTCTCTTGAGCGTTTTCTGTTCTTCCCAACCAGTTCGGATTTAATCAAAGAAATGTTAATTGTGAGCTTTAAAACACAAATTACAGGTAGTCCTCATTTAGCAACGAGAATTGGAACCAGCAACTTGGTTGTTAAGCAGTCATCCAAAGAAACCACCAATCTTTATGATCTTACTTCAGTTTTCCTTTGCTTTTACAGGCCTGTGAAGTTCATAAATGTTTTCACCTCTGTGAATGGTCGCTGCCTTAGACAGTCGCTAAACAAGAACTACCTCTAAGAAAATGTTATTGAATTATCTGGATCCTGATGTCAGGTCATAATAGGCTGTTTCATACATACACGAATCATGTTAAATGTTAAATACGATTGCTGTTAATGTAGGAAATATATCCGGAAACATGGAATATCAAATGGTTTGGATTGCTCCAAATTTGCTCAATTGGTTCAATTGTTATATCTTTCTGTTAAGATTCTATGCAATATTAGCAGGTTGATCAGACAAGATGAAAGATAATGTAAGCTGCTTCTATACTGAAATACGACCAAAAATAATTGGATAGAAAACAATTCAAGAATGTTACGACTTTTTTTTTTAAAAAGAAAAAGCATATTGGACTCCACAGGAAATTAGAGGAGGGAAGCATTTAAATTCTAGTATGGTCTAGCAACAGGGATGCGGTGGCTCAGTGGCTAAGATGCTGAGCTTGTCGATCGAAAGGTCGGCAGTTCAGCGGTTCGAATCCCTAGTGCCGCATAATGGGGTGAGCTCCCGTGACTTGTCCCAGCTTCTGCTAACCTAGCAGTTCAAAAGCACGTTAAAAAAATGCAAGTAGAAAAATAGGGACCACCTTTGGCGGGAAGGTAACAGCGTTCCATGCACCTTTGGCATTGAGTCATGTCCACATGACCATGGAGACGTCTTCGGACAGTGCTGGCTCTTCGGCTTTGAAACGGAGCTGAACATTTCCCCCTAGAGTCAGGAACAACTAGCACATATGTGCAAGGGGAACCTTTACCTTTACGGTGTAGCAAAAGAAAAAAAAAAGATAAAAATGAGGGGAAGAATAATTTCTTCTGAATCGCCCGTGGAAAAGCCATTTGGATCCCAAATATGTTGGGCGGTGCTAAATTTCTTCTATCTCCTTTTGGTTTTCTTCTCTCGTTTGTTTGGGTTCTTCAGGGCTTGTGGATAAACATTTTGTCCCGTCCACGGTCAGACAACTAGAAGTCTGTCCAAAAATGTCTTGTAATAATGAACCAGCAGCCAACCTGCTATGCATACCAAAGTACCAATATAATCAATAGCCCGACAAGCAAGTTTCATTGAAAATACTTTCAACGTTTAGCGAAGGAAAGCATGTGAAAACCTTCAATCATTTCTCACCAGATACGGGTAGTCCTCAACTTACAACTACAATTTACGTTGCTAAGTGAAACGGGCTGTTGAGTGAGCTTTGCCCCAATTTACGACTTCTCTTGCCATTGCCGTTAAGTGAATCACCGGTCCTTAAGTCAGTCGCACAGTTGTTAAGCGAAATCTGGCTTCCCTATTGACTTTGCTTGTCAGAAGGTCGCAAAAGTTTTATCACTTGACCCTGGGACGCTGCAGCCGTCATAAATATGAACCAGTTGCCAAGCACCGGAATTTTGATCAGGGGATGCTGCAACAGTCATTAAGTGTGAAAAATGGTCATGTTGCTTTTTCCAGTGCCATTGTAACTTCAAACGGTCACTAAACGAACTGTTATAAATTAAGGATTACCTGTATTTTGATTCCCTTTCTTGGTTATTATTTCTAATCATGTTACTCCATTTTGTGCTTCTTTGCCAGTACGGCTGAGGAATTTGTTGGACTTGAGTTTTCCTCCGCTTCAGCTGATAAGAGCAATATTCAGGGAACATGAGCCTTGGGCTCTTTCAGTTGAAGAGGTGCTGGTTTCTTATCTCTGCAAGTTTATAAAATGCACAATTCTGAAACTGAACAATTAGCCATTCACTCATTGCCACAAGCAACTGAAGTTCAAAGCCCAGAACATGGGATGCTTATAAGTAATGCTTAAAAAAGCCAAGGTAGAATTCCTGTGAAATATTTTTTTATTTCTTCTTGAAAATTACTCCTCCTGGAATTAAACAAAAAAATATATTCTTGATTTGTCTTTTCATTTTATAACATTACCCTGCCGTCGCATTCCAAATGGTAAGCTATCCTTTCTTGGGGCTGCTTAAATAAAGCGAGCCAGTTTGGTGTAATGGTGTAAGGCAGGGGTGAAATCCAGCAGGTTCTGGTGAACCGGTAGTGGAAATTTTGAGCAGTTCGGAGAACTGGCAAATACCACCTCTGGCTGACCCCCAAGTGGAATGGGAATGGAGATTTTACAATATCCTTCCCCCAGAAGTGGGGTGGGAATGAAGATTTTGCAGTATCCTTCCCCTACCATGCCCAAGCCACACCATGCCTACCAAGCCACGCCCACAGAACTGGTAGTAAAAGAATTTGGATTTCATCACTGCTACAACCTTGGCAACTTTAAGGCTGGCGGACATTGACATCCGCCAGCCTTAAAGTTGCCAAGGTTGGAGACCCCCGGTTTAAGGCACCAGGCTAGAAACCTGGAGAGCGGGAGTTCTAGTCCAGTCTTCAGCATGTCTTGGGCCAGCCACTCTATCTTAGCCCTAGAAAGGAAGCAATGGCAAATAATTTCTGAAAAACTTTGCCAAGAAAACTGCAGGGACTAATCCAGCACTCAACGTTGACTTGAGGGCATGTACAAAGATGTACAGACACATACAAAACACCCTGTAGGAATAGCATAGTTTTCTGTTTCGGTGTTCGGACTGAACATAATATCAAAATCTTTCTGGAGGCTTGTGTGAAGAGTCCATTGCCAAGTGCATTTTTTTTTTCTATCCAGGCCTGAAAAAGAACTCTACAAAATCATTTGTGAATCTTCAAAAGTTGTTTCAAAATCGCTTTCGCTTTCATAACCCGACTGCGGCCAATTATGGAGACTGAAAAGATTTTATGATCACCGTATTTAATATTAGGTGGGAAAACAGATAAAATTGCAGTGTTCCCATTTGTATCTCAACATAGATCAAATCACTTGACAATAACTTAATATATTAAATATTTTTAATATGTGCTTATATTTTTCTTTACATCTTTCTGCGGCTCAATTAAGAGAATAACTGAATCAGAGTTAGTTTTCTACCAATAACAGTAAAATTTAAATAAAAGACGTAACCGACACTTCCATCTTAGAATTCTGTATCTCAGGGAGAATAAGCTAAATTAACAGGTTGGCAATTGTTCTCTTTATTTGGACTAAGAATGTGAGACAATAACACATTTTGGACACATTTTTAATGAAGGAGGAAAGGAATGATAAATATCATGGAATCACATTTGCTGTTCTGGCAAAGCGTAACCAAGAGTTTCTAAATCATGCCGAATAGAAAATTCTACACTCATTTAATATACCATATGCCTGTGCTCCATCATTTATCTATATCCACTCACATAAAGTCACTGGTCCAACATAACTGTTCCTTGAACCCAACTCTTAATATCAAATACAAAACTCTATAAAAGAAATAATTCCAAAAGAACTGACTTGCAGGGAAAAGTAAAATAGTTAAAAGTAAAAGGCTGAGGGTTGGACCATATTCAGTCTCATCCTGCCCAGATGCAGGGGTGAAATCCAGCTGGTTCTGACAGGTTCTGGAGAACCGGTAGCGGAAATGTTGAGCAGTTCAGAGAACCGGTAGTGGAAATTTTGAGTTCGGAGAACCGGTAGCGGAAATTTTGAGTAGTTCGGAGAACCGGCAAATACCACCTCTGGCTGGCCCCAGAGTGGGGTGGGAATGGAGATTTTGCAATATCCTTCCCCCAGGAGTGGGGAGGGAATGGGGATTTTGTAATATCCTTCCCCCAGGAGTGGGGAGGGAATGGGGATTTTGCAATATCCTTCCCCTGGAGTGGGATGGGAATGGAGATTTTTCAGTATCCTTCCCCTGCCACGCCCACCAAGCCACACCCACAAAACCAGCAATAAAAAAATTTGGATTTCACCACTGCCCAGATGTGGCCATGGAGGGAATTTAGGCATGGGGGTCATTCTTAATAGTTTTTGTGCTCACCTGGCTTGAACTGCCTAAAAGTTCAATGTGAAGACCCCCGGGATTTATCTTCCCCTGAAAGACAGGAAGAATGAGAGGCAAAAGGATCTGCATCTGGGTTGGGTTGGGTTGCCTTGCCTGGTGCTCAAGAGTGGGTCGGGGACATCCAAAGTGGGCCCCTGGAATGAATTCTGACAACCACTCAGCTTTGGGTATCAACACATTACAGTCCATCTCCGTTTGCTACTTCACCTGTTTCATATAATTTATACAATTTATGTATTCGTGGATGGAAAACAACTCGACTATTCCATATTGCAGTGATCCCCAAGCCCCAGGGATCGGGGCCATGTCACGGACAGGTATCGTGCTGCAGCTCATTGAGAATAGGGCTGTGCAAATAAGAGGATGAGCACACAAAGCTCCCTTGGTGCATGTGCAGGATTAGGTTGTGCACACAAAACTATTCCTCACCCACCCACCTCCAACACTGATGCCGCCAGCCAACACCCAAGACTACCAGTCCGCGAAGCTGGAAAGGCTGGGGGCCACAGCCATATTGTATACACTTTTTAGTATACTTAAAATATTGACACAAATGCAATAAGCACGTACTAGTAATAAGCCTGGCCGGTCGTTTTCTTTGTCCCCTTCCATTAAAATTCTTTTTTTGGGAAAAATAAAACAAGATTTAAATGCGATTGCATTTGAGCTGCACGTTTGCTAGCTCCAAACAGCAGCATCTGTTGGCAGCAGGAGGAATTAAGTCATAGCTATGCATTTCATTCATATTTCTCCATCATTTGTGAGTCTCTCGGGTCTCACCGGCAGCGTAAGTGCAAGCTGAAAAAAGTAGATGGGCTGCTGCGAAAGAGAAGAATTAGCCACACCTTATATGTATGTATGTATTTACTCTTCAAGGGTACAGTCCAAAAACAGAGAAAAGGCTGAGGGTGGGAGGCAGGGAAGAGTGCAGAATCCATTCTGGCTCTGGGTGGGTCATCCTGCATGGACATGGTGGACCTTCTCAGCCCTTGAACCATTCTGCAAAGCTTCTCAGAATGCCTTCAAGTTTCCAAGCCCACCGCTTCAAGCTGCTTGCAGGAACCAAGACTACAGCTCTCTCTTTGTACTTAGGCTACACCACCTGTGTACTTGTTCTTTTGGGCAACAAAGTCTTGTCCATAGTAAAGACAGCTAATTCTAAAGACGCCGTTGGGTGTTGTCCAGCATCAAGATTTGGTCCTGATTCTCTTCGTATTTCTCCATCATTTCCTGCAGGTCATCGTCAGCCTGCATCACCTTAAAAAGACTCAAAATGGTCAAAATGCTGAAGCACATCTCTGGAAAAAAAATCTACAGAATCCAAGTCTGGAATTGAGACTGTGTGTTAAACAAGCCAACATTCATGAACTTGTGCTAAATTGTCCTTGGCTTACAAAACCCTGGCTTGTTTGGCATAAGTATTCCTGGCATTCTTTGTTTCGATGGCATGCAAATGTATTCCTTTCCTTCAAGCAACAGGCCACCTGCATTAACAGACAACTCATTCACACTGTGGTTGAGTCCATCAGGAGTGATGGCTTAAAAACGTTGCTTGGTTTTAGCATGACATGTAAACGCAACCAGTTATAGTTTATATCATAAGTTGTTAAAAATCCATCATACGTGATCTCCTCAATTAATAGTATTTTTGTAGTATTGTTCTATGAGCATAAATAATTGCATAAATATGTGTGCACGTCCATTTTACCCTTCTGTCTAACCGTATTTCCTACAAGGAACCAAGTTGCCAAAAATTAAGCTGATGTCTGTCACAGTGCTATTAAAACGTCTTCCCCTCTTGTGGAAAGTTTATAATAAGTCGAAGAAGCCTTTGAAGATACCCTGTTTCCCTGAAAATAAGACATCCCCTGATAATAAGCCCAATCGGGCTTTTGAGCACATGAGCTAAAATAAGCATCCCCCTGAAAATAAGCCCTCCCCAAAAATATTTAAACGCAGAGCTGGAAATCAGGTAAGATGGCAAGAGGAGCCCCATCTTGCTCCATGCGCCCCAAAGTAATAAGACCTCCCTGAAAATAAGGCCAAGCGTTTATTTGGGGGTTCAAAAAAATGTAAGACAGGGTCTTATTTTCGGGGAAACACAGTAGTTAATATTGAGACATGACAGGAGAGCAAGACAATTTTTTTTACAAACATAATAAAAAGTTATGCATTAATTCAGATACCTTTTTCCTGTTTTGGCCAAACTACTGTGTTTCCCCGAAAATAAGACCCTGTCTTATATTTTTTGAACCCTGAAATAAGCGCTTGGCCTTATTGCCATGCGCTCAAAAGCCTGATTGGGCTTATTATCAGGGGATGTCATATTTTGGGGGAAACAGGTATCTTTCAATACTTACAAGCACCGGAGAAGGGACTTTGAACAATGTTTGTTTAATGAGCCAGTCTTCATAAAGCTGATGAATAGCTTCTAAATATTCCTGTCCAGAGGAGGAGGAAAAAGAAGGATGATCAGGTGGTGTTTTTTTTTTTAACAGATACAAAAATACTTTGGTTAATTATGATTTGTGTTCTGTAGAAGCAAAAGGTAGGATAGTTGCAATTAGAGCCAAGCATATGATGTAAGTTGCACAGGACCACCAGATTTGGGAAGGGAGCTGGCTAGTGAATCTGGATCTCGTTTATCTAGAACAGTTGTTTTCCCGTCTCAGTTAACTGAACATTCAACACTTCCCCAGTCAAAGATACAACTGGGATCTTTTAATTGAGCAGGGAATTCAAATCAACAGCCTGAAGTTGTGTTTCTCAACCTCAGCATCTTTGAAGATGTCTGGATTTCAATTCCCAGAATTCCCTAGCCAGCATGGAAAGGGCACTTCCTGTTCTGTCACGTGCTCTCCATAGGCAGGGAACATCACCCCCAAACCACAGGGACAACTTTAGCACAGAAATCTACTTTCTGCTAATCACAGAATGCAACATTTTCAGCAATATTACAGATTAACAGAGTTGGAAAGGACCTTGTAGGTCATCTAGTCCAACCCCTCGCCCAAACAGGAGACCCTACACCATTTCTGACAGGTGGCAGTCCAGTCTCTTCTTGAAAGCCTCCAGGGATGAAGCTCCCACAACTTCCGAAGGCAACTTCTGTTCCATTGGTAGATTGTTCTCACTTTCAGAAAATTTCTTATTTCTAGGTTGAATCTCTCCTTGGTCAGTTTCCATCCATTATTCCTTGACTGGCCTTCAGGTGCCTTGGAAAATAGCTTGACCCCTTCCTCTCTGTGGCAGCTCCTTAAATATTGGAACACTGCTATCCTGTCTCCCCTGGTCCTCCTCTTCACTAGACTACCCATGCCCAGTTCCTGTAACCGTTCATCCCCTAATCATCCTGGTTGCTCTTCTCTGCACTCTTTCTAGAGTCTCAACATATTTTTTATAGTGTGGTGACGATAACTGGATGCAGTATTCTAGATGTGGTCTTACTAAGGCTTTATAGAGTGGTGTTTGTACCTCACTTGATCTTGAATATCCAAAAGAGACCAACCATGACCTCAAAATGATGGTTACATGGATCAGGGTATCATTGCACAAATGCCACACTTCCACCATGATGTCTGGTGGAAGAACTAAAGTTGCGTCATCTCTGTGATGACATCGTCCATACGTTGACATTTGACCCCCTGCCCCAGTGGATGTTTATGACCGTCTTGTTAGGAGACTGAAGACTTTTGATCCTTCTTCCAACCAACCAAGTTGTAACGCTCCAAAAAATTGAAAGATCTTCTCCTTACCATGGGAATCACCTTCTCCTCTTCCCTGCACCTCTGCTTGAGTCTCTGGTAACACATGCCTGGAGAGGTCTGTAGATAAACTGCATCAAACCATTATAGTTTTAAACTGTTAAAGGATGCAAGGGCTATTTCAATCATTTCAGATGTATTTTAACTCAGAAGCAGGGTTGATTCGGCCCTGAAAGAATTCCAAAATGGTTACGGCAATTGTAACCACAGCTACCCATTTGAAACCCAGCATTTCCCATTCAAAATGCTTGGCGTACTAAAATAAATCGAATATTCTTGAAGGGCCATCCAGTTTTTGAAAGCTCAGACCTCACTGGCAACAGCCAGATTTTTTTTAACTATGGTTATAAAACCATGGATTTTAGTAACAAATCAATGAATTGGGGTTTTAAGTCTATGATGTAACGTGTATTAAATATTTTACTTGTTAAACTGTTTTATTTAATGCCGAATTTAGATTATATTTGTAGCTTGCATTGGGGCTTTTTGGCCGTAAATAAAATTGAATACAAAGCTCAGAGGAAAATTATAACTATAGGAATCTGTTTGCTTCTCAGGAAAAAAAAAATCCCCAAATGATAAATATTTCAAGTTTTAAAAGTACAATACATTCATGTAAATCACCTATTAAGTATGCAATGCAGAAACTACTGAAGCCTTTTAATGCCAACTTAGACTAAAGATGAACATTCTTGATTTTAAACTATCCAAAGAAAAAAAATAATTGAGAGCTAAAAAGTTAGTCTACTCTACACACACAAATGGGCAAACACTAAAATTTCTGTATTAAAAAAAAAAGAAACAGCACAGGTTTTACATATGATTTCCCTCACCTAATTCGCCTCATATATGTTGAAGTTCAACTCCCTTAAATTCACAGTGATTAAAGAATTATGCATATTGAAATACAGGCTATCTGATTGGCATTGTGTTAAGACTCAAATTACTAAAGTTATCCTTAATGTTCGCTAGCCACCAAACCTCCCCACTCCTGAAGAATCAATAGAGGTGTTTACCGATCAGATCAACTGACACGTTCATATTCTTGAGGATCCAGTCAAACCATTCAGTCAGGATGACGTAATCTACTTCTGGCATTTTCCCACTGCAACAACAAATATAGGAGAGAACTCAAATAAAAAAGATGATCAACAGTTCAGTCATTCATCTTCGTACTATCAACCGGCAACTGCTAATCTTTTTCCTCCTCCTCCTCATCACCACAAAATGATGTATACTAAGGGTGTCAAACTCAAGGCCTGCAGGCCGCATCCGGCCTGCGGAGTGCTTAGATCTGGCCTGCAGAGCCGCCCTGGAAACAGTGAAGGTCTGGCCCGCGGTGCATCTGCCAGTGAAAACGGAGCTCGGGAGGGCCATACACGGCCCTCGCAAGCTCCATTTTCGGCCACCGTGGCCTCCTGCAGCCCTCTGCTAGCAAAGAGCTCGGGGGGGGGGTCCTTTTTTCCTGGCAGAGGGCTGCAGGAGGTAGTCAGGGGCAAAAACAGTTTGGGGGGGTGGGATGGCCCCCCCCCCCCGAGCTCCATTTTCGCTGGCAGAGGGCTGCAGGAGGCCGTCGCAGCCGAAAACAGAGCTCAGGAGCCCATTTTTGCTGACCGAGCACTCGGCCAAGGCGCCCCCACAACACGAATGACATCAAGCTGGCCACAGCCACCCCAGTCCCCCAAGGTCAAACACAACCCTGATGCAACCCTCAATGAAATCAAGTTTGACACCCCTGATGTACAGTCTCAAGAGTGATTCGCTCTTTCACCTAGTTACTTCTTCACTCTCAGCTTGACAACAATCGGGGGGTGGGGGTGGGTTGGAATGTCGGGGTGGGAAAGGAATGCCAAGACTTCACCTGCAGATCACGAGACCCTGCTGCCACCCCCAAAGTCACACCGCGCCAGTGTTGAACGATCTGGGCCTCTCTCATAACAAAAGAAGTGGATGGAATTGGACAATGCAATGAACTGAGGGGGACAGCCAGAGGGAACAAGCAAGTTTAACTATGTGGGCTTTCGTGCGGGAAACCCAGAGCTGGTTTTGCTTTGTCTGTGCCAATGTGGTGTATTCAATAAAGTCTTACTTTTGGGAAGTACAATACCCCAGGAGTTCTCTTTTTGGATTCACTGACACACTGGCCCAATCTTCCTTTAAATGTAATCACCAAGATCTCATACCTGATTTGTCAAAATGTCAGCCTGTCTATGGCTCTGCAGGTGCCTTACAGGTAGTCCTCATTTAAAGATGTTAACAGGGACCAACAACTCCATAACTGTGCAGTGTGATCATAAAGTGTGATGTCTCATGCTTGCATCACCTTGTGACAAAAGCTGGGGCGGTCCCAACTGCCATTGTTAGGTGAATCCTGCACAATCACAGCATCTTATGGCCACATGGCTGCCATCTGCAATCTCCTGCTGGCTTCCCCACTGACTTTGCTTAAAGTTTCCTTTGTCCTAGGATTCTTTTTGTTGTTGTTGTTGTTTCCCAGCCTAGACCACCACTCTGGAATTTTCTTCTCCAGGGACTAAGCAGGTGCAACCTTACTCAGCTTTTTTTCAGATCAGCCAACATCTGCTACGTTCTACCACCTCCGGAAGAGAACTATTGTCTCCCTTAAGTCAAGTTCCACTCCTGATGCCTTCATATAGGTACATTCTTATCTTTTATTTCACAAAAGTACAGAAGCAATTCACCACTTCCTTCTTCTGGGTATGTTCACAATTTCTCAGTCCAGCCAACAATTCTGTATTTTCTAGTTGTCTTCATCCAAGTTGAAGGACTGCCCAATTTTACTTATCTTTGAGAATCAGTGAATATATTTCTCTTCACTTCTGTATATTTCTACCTCAACCGCTCCATTTTTACGACCCTGCAATCCCATAATTTAGAGTAGAATTGGGGTGAATTCTCTGGCAATGTTGTACTACTAACTAGAGCATACAAAACATTTGCTAGACCAATTCTTGAATACAGCTCATCTGTCTGGAACCTGCACTGCATATTGGACATAAATACAATCGAGAGAGTCCAGAGATATTTTACGAGAAGAGTCCTCCATTCCTCTAACCGCAATAAAATTCCTTATGCCACCAGACTTCAAATTTTGGTCTTAGACAACTTAGAACTACGCCAACTTCAGTCTGACCTAAGCATAGTACATAAAATTAACTGCCGCAATGTACTTCCTGTCAATGACTACTTCAGCTTCAACCACAACAATACACGAGCAAATAATAGATACGAACTCAAGATAAACCGTTCCAAACTTGATTGCAGAAAATTCGACTTCAGCAACAGAGTGGTCAATGCCTGGAATGCACTACCTGACTCTGTGGTTTCTTCCTCAAACCCCCAAAACTTTAACCTTAAACTGTCTACTGTTGACCTCACCCCATTCCTAAGAGGTCTGTAAGGGGCATATTTAAGTGCACCAGCCTACAGTCCCTGTTCTAATATTCCTTTTTACTTTTTACTTACTCTTTTCATGTATTCAAATTATGTTTATACTTTTACCTGTTATATATGCTTGACAAAATAAACTTATGACCTATGACAGAATGGAGTTGAGTATTTACTGGCCGGATGCCCTTCCTAATGTCTATGTGGAGTTCACAGCAGATTTTGTTTTCTTTCCGCCCTAGGAAAGAAACATCTGCCGTTACCTAGGATTGAGAACTCTCAATCTTCCGAGTGGGAGATGAGTGTCTTCACCACTAGGCCACCACATCGCTATATTTCTACCTCAACGACAATCGAGCCAAAATATTTTAATGTAATGTATCTAATCTGTTTTCAGTAATCATTCACTGGAACAACTTCAACATTCGTATGAATCAGTTCGGTGTTGCCTGGTTACCACACATAACCAAGGACTGTTATGAGGGAGAGCACATGGAGCACATGAAGGTAAGTCATGTGCTTTCACTAGCCTTCTCCTCCATAGCTAACCTGAGCATATAAGCTCATGGTTTGCTTATTATAGTTCAGATTTAAGTGATACAAAAGCATGAAATTAATTTCATAAAATTAGTGTATAGCTTCCACCCAATCCAACATTATCAAAGCTTTTACCATGTTTCCCCAAAAATAAGACCTCCCTGGATAATAAGCGCTCCCCAAAAAATATTTAACTGTGTGCGCAACCGGTCCCCGCCATGTCTTCTGGTTAGTTAGGGAAACAGCTGGAAATCAGGTAAGATGGCACGTGCCCCAAAATAATAAGACCTCCCCAAAATTAAGGCCAAGCGCTTATTTAAGGGTTCAAAAAAATATAACACCTGGTCTTATTTTCGGGGAAACACGGGAAAGTGTATCCAATATGCACATGCAAAAAAAGGCAGTAATGTAATTTCTTCAAATACACAAAGAGCAATCAGACAGATACAGTAATCACTACATCATATTACTTCAGCAATTGGGATAAAAGAGAACCCAAAGGTATTTTCGTAGCATCGCATCTGCACCTTTGCTCAAGAGACACTGTAGCAGAGATGCCACCTTGTGGATTTACAAATTGCTTCTCCTTTCCCTCACGCATTTCAGAACGGAAATCTCGTTTGGCTGTAAAATGTTTATTCAGAGTGGAAAAAATAATGGCAAGACCAATCGAAAATATACTGCAAGATGAACAGCAGCCACCGGCGTGCCTTAGTCAGTTGATGTGCAACTGACAATTTGATGGCAATTTGGCTCTGTTCCTGGGCTATTTCAGAATGAATAAAATATGAAGCCGCTCTCTTAAAAGCACGCTCTGTACCGTACCTGCGATATAGGTTCTCCACAAAAATGTATTTTGCGCTGTGAATTGACCTCTCCATCATTCTTATGGGAGAAATCTGCAAATTAAATGTCAAAAGCCATTTAGAAGGATGGATAGGTGGGTGGACGGACAGACACACAGATTGCTAGCTATTCAAGGGGAGGGGGAGATTAGCTGTTCTGCAGTATCCACTGGAGTACAGATTCCTTGAGGAAAAGGGGATTTGTTCCCTTTATTTATTCCCTTGAAGTTTATTTAACTTCGGCAAGGCCTTTGTGAAACCAGCAACCTTGTTAGATTTCAAGAACTTTCGTTCAAGAATTCAAACTATAATTCTCTCTCTTCCGGTTTTCCCCATATTGACAAGCCAAAGAAGTAGGCTGAAATGAAGGCGACGGATCCAAAATTACCCATTTAGAATCCATGGCAGAGACTGGATTTGAACCAGGGTCTCCCTATTACCTTTCCAGAATCTTAACTATTATGGCACACTGGCTCTTAATACAGGTAGTCTTCAACTTATAACCATTCATTTACTGACTGTTCAAAGTTACAACCACACTTTTAACAGTAAAATTCAGATGATTATGCTGGGATTGACGGCAAAAATAAAAATGATTATACTGGGTTTAAACAGTAAAAATAAGGATGATTTTGCTGGGAACAACAGTAAAAATAAATGATTGTGCTGGGATTAAAAGTAAAAAATGAGGATTAAGATGAAGATGATGTGTTGTGATAAATAATTAAAAATGATTATGTTGTGACTTGTAAATTAGGATGATTATGTTGAGATAAATAGTAATGAAGAGGATTTGCTGTGAGTGATAGTTAAGATATTGTTTATGATAATAGTAATGATTTATATTTTTAAGATACACTCATTTAAATAAAAAGAAAAGATAATGAAATGATATTGAGTTAGGGTTTAAAGACTTAAGTAACGGGTTCTTGGATAATGGTATTATAAAATAGATAGAAATTAGGGAAACAATTGTGTAAAACATTAAGTTGTGTTATTTGGAAATTAAGATTTGAGGTGAAATAATAGAAAGGTAATTGTTTTGAGCAAGTTATTGTGTTTTTTTTCTCTCTGTTTTATTTTTTTATTATTATTTTTATAAGATGATGATTAGTGGAGATGAGTCATTGTTAAAGATGAATTTGTGATTGTACCAATTTATGACCAGATCAATGCTTCGTTCTAAAAAGATGTATTTTATGTTTATGTTTTAAAAAATAAAAAAACTTTTTACAAAAAAAAAGTTACCACCACACTGATAAAAATCTTTGGCCGGTTTTCACGACCATTGCAGCATTCCCATGGTCACGTCATCAAAACTGAGACACCTGGCAACTGGCATGTATTTATGACGGTTGCCACGTTCCAGGGTTGTGTGATCACCTTTTGCAACCTCCTGACAAGCAAAGTCAATGGGAAAGTCAGATTCGCTTAACGACTGCAAGGATTCACTTACCAACTGTGACAAGAAGGTCGTAAAATGGGGGCAAAATGAACTTAACAGCTATGGAAAAACTTAGCTGCAGAAATGTTGGGCTCAGTTGTGGTCGTAAGTTGAGGACTACCTGCGTTAGGATTCTAGTTACTACCTTATAAAACATACCATTGGCTTTGTATGCTGGTCCAACATAGTCAACTGCACGTAAGTCTGTAATGTCATCCCCCACCGGGTTGCATCTTGATACATTAAGCCCTGCCATTGGGGAGAAAACAATAAGACTATATTCAAGGGAGTGGAGTGGAGTAGGAGTGGAGTGGAAAAAGTATGGAGTGGAGTGGAAGAGGAGTGGAGTGGAATGGAGTGGAAGAGGAGGGGACGGGAGGGGAGGAGAAAGAAGGGAAGGGAAGGGAAGGGAAGGGAAGGGAAGGGAAGGGAGAAGAGAAGGGAAGAGAAGGGAGAAGAGAAGAGAAGAGAAGAGAAGAGAAGAGAAGAGAAGAGAAGAGGAGTTGAGTTGAGTTGAGTTGAGTTGTTGCAATATTAGGTACATGAGCACATATGGTTCCAAATCCTCCAGTATTTATTTAATTTCTTCTCCCCGATGGGAAGGACTTACTAAGCATATTCAGTTCTCAACGGGACACTGGCCACCAAGGAAAATTTGTGACTCATTATCTTCCTTTGGGCCTAAATGTATTTTGGCTGCAAAAGAACCAGCACTTAAAACTGAGACCAACTATTTTAAAAAAAAAAAAAGGCTTGAAAATCATTACCAAATTACAAAGAGGAAGTACAGCATATGGTGTCTTGGTGAATCATATTAGCCACTTTATTAGAAAAAAATCTATTCAATAACAACGCTTGAACTTAGACAGAGTATATTTTCTGTTGTTAAGATAAGGGTAGTGCGGTTTTACTTTCTCACTATAATTCAAGGGCTTTCAAGCAGTTAAAACAATGAATGCAGAAAATAAGTCCAGGAGCTTCATTCTAGCAACTTACCAGAGGATTGTGACCATGGACATTTCTCCACTTAGATACTGGTTCTGTCAACACCTGGGTTGAAAGTTTTAAAAAAATGATCAGTGCAATGCAGAAAATTTCAGTTTACTTCTCTCAAGCTACCCTAAAGATACAACCAAGAAATGTGGAAGATTAGCAGCTGCTACCCTCAGAAAGTATGCAAAGTATGTAAACTTCTATATGACAGACACCTTTGTCAAAGACCAATTTTGCCCTTGGAAACATTCTCTTACGATCCTCTTATGCTCTTTCATTACTATGTGAAACCACTAATCAATGAATTGTATATATTAGTGGTTATCAACCTGTGGTCTACAGACCTCGGGGGTGGGTGGGGGTGTGACATGACATTCAAAGGAACTGTGTTGAAAAAAAAATTCATAGGGCAGGAATTTCACTAAACATGTGAACCGCAATCCTGATTCTTATTTGTTTTCAACCACATGAAGCCCACTTAGAATATGAAGGAACTCAAGAAACCACAATGCTGCATCACCTCAATGCCGGTGTTTTTAGCAAAATAATCCAGGCAGGTTGTTTTCCCACTAGCAATGTTCCCCTCGATGCAGATCTGGTGAAAACAGAAAGAAAGATGAAACGACAGCAGGTGAGCAAAGCTCAATGGCGATGCTCAAATTCAGCAGAAAGTTAGAACTCTTTCGATTTGAAAAATCTAGAGGGCTCTGTTTTCTCTCTGCATAAGTTAAAAACCCTCCCAAATCCACATTGTAAATCACCGCGTAATCGTGTTCCATAGCTTAAGCCATTTTATAGGTGTTGTTATATATACCCTGAAAGAATATCGTTTGCTGAAAGAATATCGTTTTCTACCATGCTGTAGAACCTTTCAGACCTCAGAAACCACTAAATTCATAATTTTAAATCCCGCGGACCACTAATATGATCTGCCTAATGACCAGCTGGATGGGCGTGGCTAGGTGGTCATGTGACTGAGTAGGCGTGGCCAACTCAATGTCACTCACATCGAGGGGCGCCTCACCAGCCTCTACTCACCCCTCCCCTCCCAGTCACTCCTTGTCTCCCCGCCCAGGCTCCTTAGGGCCCCAACAGGAAGCAGTTGTTGGGGCTAAGCAGCCACCATGAGAAAGAGTTGGCAAAACAGCTCAGTTCAAATTGGATCTGACCGAGAAGGAGGCTCAGTAGAAGCACCTCATTGAGGACTAGGAGCATAGGCTTTCCAAGCAGAGGGAAGACCTGCGGGACTGCAAGACCAGGTACCGGCACCTGGAGGCTCAGCGGGCTGAGATGGTCAGCCAGTTCCAGGCCATGATGCAGTCCCACTGGAACGAGGCCCTCCAGCTCTTTGCCACCAGCGGCACTTCCCTCCAGCCTTCGCCCAAAGTCCTGCACCAGGAGGCTGAAGCAGGCCCCAAGTTGGAATTTCTGTCCCCCTCCGACCCACACAAAAGACCCCGAAGGGGGAGATTCTCTACAGCAACACAAACGTTCATTGCACGCATCTGTCCCAGGGGCCGTAGTTTTGAGTGCAAATATTTTATATTGAGTGCAATATAAAAAGTGCAAATAATTTTTCTGCGGACCACCAAAATTTTCTCACGGACCACCAGTGGTCCACGGAACACCAGTTGGTGACCGCTGCTGTAGAGAGCCATGGAATGGTCTTGAAGGAAATACTCAAAAGTTCTTACAGAAACAAGGGCAGACCCATTCCTTAAGCCTTGGGAAAGAAGTATTAGGAAGAGATTCAGGCTAGTTCCTTCCTGACACTCTGAGGTATAAGAAGGAGAAGTAAAATTCAACCTAACTTGTTACTTATAGCCTATTGATTCACAACAATCCGATTCTGTTACTATAGCCTACAACAGGGGTTTCAAACTCAAGGCCCAGGGGCCAAATCCGCCCCGTGTGGTACTTAGATCTGGCCCATGGGGCCACCCCGGAAATAGCGAAGGACTGGCCCGCAGTGCTTCTGCCAGTGAAAACAGAGCTCAGGAAGGCCGTTTGCGGCCCTTCTGAGCTCCGTTTTCGTTGGCAGAGGGTTGCAGGAAGCCATGGCAGCCAAAAAGAGCTCAGGAGCCCGTTTTCACTGGCAGAGCACTTGGGCCACCACAGGCGCCCTCGACATGAGTGATGTTGAGTTGGCCATGCCCACCCTGGCTACACCACCACCCCTGGCCCCCCAAGATCAAACTCAACCCTGATGCGGCCCTCAATGAAATCGAGTTTGACACCCCCGACTTACAATATTTCAATACAGCTTTGTTCTACCCTTTCTGTGGAGCCAAGTTTCCCAGTCTGGATAAGTTCCAAAAGCCGATACATCAAATATCAAATAAAAAGGGTGTCACAAAGTCCATGCAATCATGTTATCAATCGAGCGAGCGAGCATGAACTATCACTTTCCAGTCATTTCAATTATGGTTTCAATCTTCACATATTTTTCCCATCTTGCAGACTGTATGCCCCAAGTCTTTTTAAAACATACTACATAATATATTGTTATTATTCTCCTTTGTGGTATCCAACAAAAAGATTTGCAAGTCTACGTTCAGAAATGCATAGAGATTGTTTGCATTACTGTCTCATTAATGCAGAATATTGGAGGTTCATACTTACAACTGTCTTCCTTCCTTCTCCGTTTGCCAGGTGCTTATCTTTAAAAGAAAATAAAGGCATTCAGTTGAAAGAGTAACTGGTGCTGGTAATAAGTTGAAATATTAGTAGTGCTACAAAGGAAAGGGCAATAGAGGCTATTTTATGCACAAATATGGAAGACTATAGAAACAGCAATCATGGAGGAATGGGTTGTGAAGATAGCAGAAATGGCTAAATTAACTTGTTTTAATTAAGTTAATTCTAACAGTCCAAAGTTGAATCTAGACACTGAAGAACTTGTTTAAGGAGAAAACTACAATTACTTTTATTTTTTAAAAAAAACTGGAAACCACTTATGGACTTTTTGCTGCATATGAATAAAAATGAATTGGTGATTTCTGGATGTATTGATTAGAATGATTTGTCTATGGGAAGAAAGGAACTATGACATGCAATATGAGAGGGAGGGAATGATAATCATTATGTTTGCAACTGCTACAAAGAACCAGATTTGCTTAAATATATTTTTTTCTTGCTATTCTTCTGTTTTCCTTTTACCCTCTTTGCTATTTCTTCTTCTATTTTTCAACAGTTTTTTTTAAACCTTTGTGAAATCTTCTTTTAATATCAATTATTTAAAAGATGATGATGATCAAGGTTAGGAGGTCGAATAGCCTTGCTAGAATCCTAATCAACATTACCACTCATGGCGGAATTCAATTGCAGGACGTGCCATCAATGTCACTTAATTTGTTCCTTGCAAGTTTCACACGTCACGCTAAGCCACGAGGTGGCTCAGTTGGTAAATATGATGTGAAACTCCAGCCAATGCAAGCTAGAATTAAAAGATTGTTTTAGCACAACATGTGAAAGAAAAAGTCAAACATCTTTGCCGTTGCTGGATAGAGACGAAAAAGAAGGTAAAGGCAGGACAGGGGTAGTGTGAATGCAGCTGCCACAAACACACCTGCACAGCACTCATCCTCACCACACCGGATGCAGACGCAAAAGGTACAGGAAGGATGTAGGAAAGGGCAAGGCTGTGTAACAGGACCAGGAGTCTCTTGCATCAAAGCAAAGCCTTCTAGGACCCAACTGACATACCGTGTTTCCCCAAAAATAAGACCCTGCCTTATATTTTTTTGAACCCAGAAAGAAGCGCTTGGCCTTATTGCCATGCGCTCAAAAGCCCGATTGGGCTTATTATCAAGGGATGTCTTATTTTGCGGGAAACAGAGTATTTACCCAGGAAACAAGAATAGCTAAGATCACAGACTAGACTCAATTCAACTGTTACAGACTTTGTCAGATGTTGGCATCTTGTCTGCCATTCAACTCTTATTTCACAGGCCCGATTTCATGCTGGATCCTCATTAAGCCCAGACTTGTGAGACTTTCCAGATAAATATATTTACCGTGACATAAGCTTTTGTGCATCATAAGCCACTTCAACAAAGTCATCACACACACACACACACACACCAAAAATAAGCAGAAACAGTAAAGAAACGTCCCCAGACTCTTCTTGGACAATAGTTAAGACATTTCAGCTTTCATATAAGAGCTGAATAAAAAATTTCAGCGTGCCTAAGAGCCCCCGCGTGCCTACCGTCCCTGTCCTAATGTTCGCTTTAATTGTATTCATTTTGATGTATTCAATTCATGCTTATTCTTATATATACTGCCCCCCAAAAATAAAGGGAACACAAGCAGAAGACATCCGAGATCTGAATGACTGAAATAGCCTTATTAAATACTTTGTTCGTTACATACAGTAGTTTTGTGTTCCCTTTAGTTGTTTGAGCAGTGTCTTCTGCTTGTGTTCCCTTTATTTTTTTGAGCAGTGTATATTATCTAATATGTACTCGACAAAAATAAATATAATATATAATATAATGCCGACTGACGACCCCCAGGGGGAGGGCCTTCTCTGTGGGGGCACCCACCCTCTGGAACGAGCTACCCCCAGGAATACGACTAATCCCGGACCTCCGGACCTTCCGTCGAGCTTTGAAGACCTTCCTATTCCAGCAAGCTGGGCTGGCTTAAAATTTTTAAAAGGTTTTTAAGGGGTAATGGGTTTTAAATACTTCGGGAAGCCAATTGGATTTAATTCTGTTTTAAATTATTTTAAATTTTGTATTGTATGGATTTTAATTTGGCTGTGCACCGCCCTGAGTCCTTCGGGAGAAGGGCGGTATACAAATTTAAAAATAATAATAATAATAATAATAATAATAATAATAATAATAATAAAAAAAAAATATATATTATATAATGTAAAGTAAAGTAAAAGTAAAGTAAAGTAAAGTAAAGTAAAGTAAAGTAAAGTAAAGTAAAATTCAAGGGGTCCTGAAACACTATTCGTTCATTTCATGAATTAAATAAAACCCAGGCAATTCACGATTCTATTTCCAGCTGGTTTTAGCGTTTTTCCAAGCCACGTTTTCAACACCAAACCCAGGCGAGTCTCGGGAGGGGACCGTTGACTGGGGACCGTTTGCGCCTTTCGATGGGCAGCAGCCCAGAAACCTGGCCAGCCCCGCGCGACCCACCCACCCACCACCCACCCACCCGCTCTCCCATCCCGGGAAGGAGCCAAGCCAAGCCAAGCCAAGCCAAGCCGGACCTACAAGAGGCGTGCTGGGAAGACCCGGCCATGGAGCAGCGTTGCTCCCTCGGCGACGCAGGGCGACGAAGCTCCGAGAAGCCGGCTTTGCAGCGGCAGGAAGCCGAGGCAGCCCCAGCCGCCCAGAGCTGCAAGCCAGGCAGCCAGAGCCGGTGGCGGAGCGATTGCATCCACCCCATCGCCCATGTCCGGTCGTCCCGCAGGAACCGGCAGGGCGGCCGCGTTGCAAAAGGCAAAGGAAGAGCAGCTGGAGCAGCTGCCCGGGCCGACGAGCCGCTTCCTTCCGCTGCTCGCAGACGCCGCGAGTCCAGCAGCTGCGCTTTGCAACGGAGGGGAGGAGAGACGCTCAGCTGCGATCCGCGCGTCAGCCGGTTGCAGCTTCCCCAGATTGGGCAGTTGGGTGCTGGGAGTTGTAGTTCAAGCCTTCCGGCCTGGTGGACTAAGAAAGGGTTTGCAAGCTGACGAGTTTTTCCTTTTGATCAGCTGCAGGCAGGCGGGCGGGTGGCAGTTACAGTAATAGAGTTAGAAGGGATCTTGGAGGTCATCTAGTCCAACCCAAGGTAGCCTGGAGGGGGGGGAGGTGAAAGGGAAGGAGGCAAGTAAGGTTGCCTGGTGTCCACTATTTGAGCGGACAGTCCGCTTTTTTCACATTATGTTCACTATTTTTTTTTCCACAAAATAGTGGACATTTTTTTTATTCAAAAGCTTTATGATTGTATATTTTTTTAATATTTCTCAACGTTGTACTGAAATTAAAGAATTATTCCTTAAACACAAAGAATTGATCAAAGCTGCGCAGTCAAATAAAAAATACACACGACAGCAAAGTAAAATGTAATTTAATATTTTACATATTATTATACTATATTTGATGTTTTGAATTTTAAGTAAAGTTTTGAAGTGATTATTTTAATACGTGTTAAAATGTTTGTAAGAAAATATATAATTTAATTGTAAAAATATGTTTTATTTTTTTAGTACTTAACCACCACCCCACCCCACCCCGCTTGTCCGCTATTTTTTGGAAGCAGACCTGGCAACCCTAGAGGCATGGCAGGGCAGGAAAGAGGGGAGGGGGGGATTCAGTTCGAAACTTTTGCCTCTAGCGTATTTCGCACCATAGGCTAAGCGTGGGCGAGCTCAGCCCTCCTAAACATCCAATGATTCTGGGTATAATAGAAGCTCTAACTCACATACAAGGCAATGGCCAAACTACAGACAGTCCTCAGCTTAAGACCACAACTGAGCCCAAAAGTTATGTTGCTATGTGAGAAATTTGTTAAGTGAGTTTTGCTGCATTTTACGATTTTTCTTGCCACATTTTTTAAGTGAATCACTGCAGTTGTTAAATTACCAATGCAATGGTTAAATGAATTTGGCTTCCCCGTTGACTTTTCTTGTCAGAAGCTTGCAAAAGCTGATCGCATGACCCCATGGACACTGCAAACGTCACAGATATAAACCAGTTGCCAAGAGTCCAAATGTAAATCACGTGACCATGGGGATGCTGCAACAGTCATAAGTGTGAAACTTGGTCATAAGTCACTTTTTTTCAGTGCCGTTGTAACTTTGAATTGTCACTAAGTGAACTGTTGTAAGTCGAATTATATACCTGCAATGGATCCTACCGGCAATTGTATTGATTGATTTAAAAATGTACAGGAATACTAGAGGAATAATAGTAAAGTAAAAAATGAAATTGGAAATGAAGACATATGAAAGTAGAAATCAGGTCTGCTCGAATACCATCTCAGATTGAATTAAAAAAGGAAACAACAAAGGAATGGAGAAGAGGAGAGTAGTAGAGAGGGGAAAGGGGAAAGTATGGGAGTTGGGAGGTGAGAAGAGAAAAGAATGGGAAAAGGAGAGGAAGAAGAAAGGGGAAAGAAGAGCAGGAGAGAGGGTAAGAAGGGGAGGAAGAAGAGAGGAGAGGGGAAAGAGGAAAGGAAGTAGGAAAGAAAAGGAGAGGAGGAATGAGGAAAGAAGAAAGAAAGGAGAAGAAAGAAGGGAAGGGAAAAAGGAAAGGTTGTAGTAAAACAAAAGAAGGAAATGGTAAAAGAGCAGACCCGAACAAATAATTAATTAATTACCTAATGGAAGTTAAAGAAGAAGATGAATGAACAATGGATGAGGATGGATAAAAGACTGTACATTTAAACATGCTGATGAAAAATAAAAATAAAAAACTTTTTTCGAAAAAAAAAATTGTAGGAGAATGCCACTTTGCAATCACTACACTGGGACGTCCCCTCCAGGACTAATTAAAACTACAACAATGATCAAAACACTCCAAAATGGGTCTACAAAGTCTGAAGCCTGCCAAGCAGCTTCATGCAGTCCATTAGCATTTTTTGAAAACCAATTCATTGCCATCAAATGTCACCACGGGCTAACTTTTCAAAGCCACTTCTGCCCCAAAAGACATGCTGCAAAGTACCTCAAGGCCTCACCCGGGATGCCAGCTCCATCACTGCCTCTTCCTTGCTAGCTGCCAAACAGCTGATTGGCATGCCAGGTCTCCCTCTGTGGCCTGCAATTAATTCTCATGCGTCAACGTGGCCTTTTCACTCTTATGAGTGGTCCCAGCCTGCCCTCCAGCAACACATTATATTAGGATTTTGTCATCCTCCAGGAGCATTGGGAGGGGGACTTGCATAATTGCCCACTCTTCCATTGCCATGGAAACCACACGAGAAATAATGGATATAAATTACAGAGGTTAAGAAATGATGGCAGGAAGAGTGGAAGTCAGTCTATGGAAGAGAAGCAACTCTGGAGATTTGGACAAAGAGACTAGACAGCCCTTTCTCAAGATAATGGATTTGGTTTTCCTCTGCAGTGCAGAGGGTTGAGCTAGATGACCTCATGGACGCTTCCAGCTACACAATTCAAAGATTATGAGACGAAAGGGAGCAGAAGACAGATTTTCTCAGCAGCTGCTCCAGCATTGTGGGACACACTACCTACCAAATTAAACTTACCCTTTTCCTCTTGGCATTCGGGAAAACCCTGAAAACCCCATTTCGCTACCATTTTATCTGACTGATAGGGACTACTAGGCAGCCATTTTGCCTACACAACATTGAGTTTCACTATAAATTGTTAATTTGCTTTCCTGTTATTCTTCCATAATCAAGATTAGATACAGTAGTGTAATCATTGTGTAAATAAATCATTGGAACAAATATCTACAAAATATCTAAGTCCTGCAAAAACAATTCCAGGTGGAAGATTGAAACAAATGTTCAACCGCTAATAATAACAGTCAAGAAACACAATAAATATTTGAGTCAAAGAAGCAAAGAAGAATCAACATCCTGGTAGCTTTAAAGAGCTACTTTTACCTCAGAGCTGCAAGTAAGAAGGTTCTTGCTAAACTATTTCCTGTTACAATGCCGGAATTCCTTTAGCAAAACTAATCGTAGTTTTGGAGCAGAAAGACTGGTGAAGTCATATTGGTACAAGCCATGATGGCGACATTAATCATGGCTTGAAAGCCACTTGAAATGGGTTCATATGCAACACTTTTGAAGCTTGAACTAAAACACTGCCTTATGTTTTAGCATAACCCCTCGGACCTAGCCAGTGTAATCTGCAAGTCGCATTTGATATTTAATGCAGGAATGAGGCTCCGGCCTAGGATTATTTGTTATTCAATAAATTGTAAGCCACCCAGAATGATGTATGTGAGACTGCATAAATGGATTAACTAAATAACTGAAAAACCATTTGTCAACTCATATCTCCAGCATCTGTGCAGAAGACACCTTTGTCGCCTGAAGCTCTTCCATGTACAGTATAGCCTTTATTGCAGGGGTGAAATCCAGCAGGTTCTAACAGGTTCTGGAGAACTGGTAGCGGAAATTTTGAGTAATTTGGAGAACCGGCAAATACCACCTCTGGCTGGCCCCAGAGTGGGGTGGGAATGGAGGTTTTACAATATCCCTTCCCAGGAGTGGGGAGGGAATGGGGATTTTGCAGTATCCTTCCCCTGGAGTGGGGTGGGGATGGTGATTTTACAGTATCCTTCCCCTGCCACGGCCACTAAGCCACGCCCACCAAGTCACACGATGCCCACCAAGCCACGGCTGCAGAACCGGTAGTAAAAAAAAATGGATTTCACCACTGCTTTATTGTCATTGTACATCATGTAAATAACGAAATTGGTTTTAGCCTCATTGATGCAATCCATGACAAAAAATGCAAATAAAATAGAATAAAGAATATTCCCTATGCAAGTAACTAGTGGGGGGGGAGAGAAAGAAAAAGAATAAAGTTTTCAAAATATGATATGATGATATATTTTGAGAATATATCATCCTCGCTCATTACTTAAGCAAGGCCACCTTTTTATTTTTATTTTTATTAAACAATTTTTAAAAAACAAAAAAACAAAAACAGATATTTACATCTTCTTTTCAACATCTTCGCATCAGTAATCCATATTTATACATTTTCTTTATCTTAATATATCTTTTATACATATATTTCTAGTATATCATATATTAAAAGGTGTCCTTGCATTTAACATAAACATCTATATCTATATCTATATATATGTTAAATGCAAGGACACCTTTTTAATGGAGCCCAAAATCCCTTACTAATCTGATACTAATCGATGTAATCAATACGATTACAATTTAATCTAAAAATAAGAACGAATAACAGCATCTCAAATTAAACATCCATAAAGTTTCCCTGCAGCTCTGCGTTACTTATTTATACTTTTCATCGATTATAAGTCAATCCTGACAGCGGTCCAAGCAGGGGCTCAAAGGGCCTTTCCAAGCCTCCATTTCCCAAAGCCCTGCCTATCCAGGATTAAACTAACCATGGTTTATTCAACTCCTCAGGCTTTCCAAGTTTATAAACTATGGGGGAAACCTGAAACTGGACCAAAAGGTTCTTTTTTTTTTTTTCCACATGGGGCCCAAAAAGTGGGCTGGTTTGTGGCTTCCTTCTCACGAGCCCCCTGCAAGGTAGACCCGTCTATGGAGACAGAAAAGAGATGCTCAAATCCGCTTTGGGGGGGCATTTCTCTTCCCCCTTTTCTTTCCCCCCCCCCCGGCCCGCTCACCTTTCTCCTCACAACAGCCCTGTGAGGTAGGCCGTCCTGGAAGGAGAGGGAGGAGGAGGGAAGGAGGGGGCTGCTCAACTCCTCCCCCTCCCCACCAGCCCGAAGGGATCCCAACAGTCCGCCCGGGTAGGGCGGCCAAACCGCCCCGAGGAGGCGTGGAGGAAGAGCGCGACGCCCTCGCCCTCAGCCCGTCAACCGGCGACCCTTCCG